TTCAGGGGAACGGTTGTTGGAGTGAGTTGGGAAGGGATCCCGATGTTGTTTCCCATCCTGACAGTGCTCGCATACGTTATGGACTTCAGTGTTTGGTTTGACGAGAATGCCTGTAGCCAGCTCCTTGTTGATGAGAGTGTCAAGTCTCCCTTTGCCTATGTGTCCAAGTCGACAGTGCAGGGTGTGCTTATCGACTCGTGCGATGTATGCCTGCTCGTTATATGCCAGAGTGTGCCCATTAAATGTGCCAATAGTGCCCTGATGCTCGCTTGTGAATAGACCTGTTAGTCTCTGAAAACTCGAGACTGTTTCCCTCAATAACCACTCGCATTCGACTCTTTGTAACAACGGTGAGGATAGAAAAGAGGTTATTTTGCAATGCTGGTACATAAAGGACATTCTGGAATATAACAGACTCGGCGGGTTTGCCATCTACAACCGGGGAGAATACAACACTTCCCTTCCCGACTGCCCACACTACGTGTTTGTTGGCAAGCTCGACGGGAATTCTGCATGGGACCATATTTCGGATCCACCTGCGGTGTGGTGTCATATGAGAGGTAGCTCCTGAGTCTGTGTTCCAAGATTCGTCAGCATTGGTGTTAAGCGAGCGGATACGAGGGGGACTTGCGAGGTGTGCGACTTGGGCCATCTGGGCCTTGACGATAGCGGGAGGTGTTTCGTCATCCTCTTCAGCGATTTGAGCCTTCTGCTGCTGAGCCCTGCAGTCCTTGTCGTTATGGGGACTTGTTGGGGCCATGGACCGAGCAGTTGAACTTGGCCTTCGGTTTCTTGGCCGCCTTTTTAGAGGCCGCGAGGGCAGATGCAGCTGAAGCTTCTGCAAGGGCAGTGTTCTTGTCGAGAGTGTCTGCTCGGCGAAGGTGCTCAAGAATGTCGCTGGCCGTAGTGCTCTTGAGGTGGGCGAGGGTGTGACGAAGAACCTTGTCCTCTTCAGCTATAAGGCCAACGGTCATCATAGCGGCAGCAAAGTCGTTGACGAGGTCAACAGCACTGTATCCCTTGTCGAAGGTGGAACCGGTGACCACAGTCTCCGCTGTCACTGGTGTTGCGCCGGTCGCTTGTGACGTGAAGAAGGAGCCGGATGCTGTGGTTTCCTTGACGTAATTGGGACCAGAAGGGAGGCGATTGATGAGCTGTTGTCCAGCAGCGACGCATCGTGCACCATAATCCGCGTACGTCTCGTCTTCCTGCTTTCGGAGTGTCATGAGTTCTTGGATCGCGGAAGTCCTTGATCCAGAGTCCTTGGGCTCGTATGCAGTAAGGAGAGTGGTCCAAATTGTTGGTACGTCTAGGATGTCGACATCACCAAGGAGGGTCTCCGTCTGCGCATGGTCGAGTGTGGAGCGGAGGTAACCGGCCATCTTGGAACGACGCTCCTGATAGTGCTGGCGAGCCTTCATCTGCCCGCTGCCAGTTGGCGCCGTTTCTTCGCCCGTGAGGATATCATAGGCGGCGAACTCGAGAGCTTTGTTGATGCAGACCCGCTTCCATTGTGAAATGGTCGTGGTCGACAGTGGGTTGTCGGTGGTGACGGTGGTGGACGACATAACGGAGTGTGGAGGTAAGGGTATGCGTCAATTGGTTGACTTGGGAGCTCCCAAGTCAGCAACGACGAGGCACGAGGTGGCAAGTGGGCTTAACGAGTCCTGGGAGCTCCCAAGACTGGTTGTAGGCACAGGAAAGGGGAAGACACGAGGCAGGGTTGGTCTCAAGGTCAAGTGGCACACTTGGACGATGAGAGAGCAAAGGGGGAGCCGTAGGCGAGGTGATCGAACAGATCGTCGTGAGTTGTCAGGCGGCGCGAGCAGTAATACTGATAAATCAGTTATGCCCGGGGCTCATAACCTATTAAACACGTAAGACGATGTACCACTGCAAGTGGGGAAGAGTTCGATGGTATTAGTACAGATATAAATAAGTACAATGAGGACATACCTGCAAGTGGGGAAGAGTTCGATGGGGGAACTCCCACTTGCAGTCACTACCTATATACGTCTGGGGACAAAGGGATGTCTATATACGGTAGAACAATAAGATGTCCGAATTGGGAACAAGGGATACAAGAGAACAATAGAACTACTTAATATATCCGAGATCGGAGAACAATAGAATGTCCGTATAAGGATACATGAAACGTTCGTACATAATTGGGCATCCTTGTACCCGTAAATGGAATAGATGTGACATGTGCATTGTATTCCAACAGTTTTGAGGAGGAGGAGGGGGGCGGGAGGGATGTGTTGGGTTGGGTGTGTGGCATGTGCCATTCTTGGCATACAAGTGGAACAGGGACACGATGAGGTACTTGTAATGAGGAGATATCTGACAAGAGCCCTAGTTTGGGTAGTAGCAGGCGATGCGGCGAAGCGCGCTACAGTAGATATAAGGTAGGGCCATATTTCTCATTCATACATCTTAGTCTCGCCTTCATGTTTCTCCATCGTTTCTCCGCACTTCTCTTGTCGAAGATTCTCTAGACGTGTCCTCTATAAGTACTGTATGGTTTTGTAGTAGATACCTCATCCGGAATCTCGACTAGGATCTCCATCCTCCCTTCTGCATCGACTAGGACTCAATCCCCTCTCCTCCATCGACTAGGACTTTCCCCTCATCGAATCCTCTGTCCGAATTCCTAAGTCTAACTTAACTCTCTCCACGTCTTCGACCGTTGAGCCTTTAGCTCCAGTCGTCTCTCTACGTCGCGCTCTCGCCGCAAGGCGTCCGTCCGGTCCGTCGGCCTAGCCAGCCATAGGAACCTTGACGAAGGGTACACGTTCTTATAACGTGAGACCAAGGCTAACCTCCGACCCCGAAGTCTCCTCTCCATCTCAGACTTCGCCTCACTCCTCTTCACTCACGCCCATCTCCTGACAGGCGTTAAGACTTCTCTTGGATCCATTTTCCTTTTCTTTGGTGAGAGTTGTCTGCTGGTGGTTATATATGGCAGCTGAGCCCAAATGCAGACCACTCACTCTATTCTCCTGTTATTGAGAATGTCGAGCTTTACCTACGCAAGACATTTTTTCTGATAGAAGGGCGCGAGAACCGTCCACCAGAGGATAGTGTCGGTCGTACAAGCTCAGGAATGTCACTTTGGAAATGTCCAAAAGGTGCATGTTACTCGGCTTAAATAAGCTGAGTGTAATTTAACGTGAGCGCGCGCGAGCATTTTGTTCCCTTTCATCAGTCAACTGGGAACTTATTACCTTATATGGTACATTGCAGCAGATTTATTCAGTCTCCGCTTTCACTTTCACTTACTTCCTGGATATTTTTCGGTATATTCATGTCAAACTCCCTCTCTCCTGTCATATAGAATACTCTAAGTAACATTAACAGAAAAAAAAATAAAAAAGGGGTTTTATAAAAACCTGTAGCTGCAAAAACATGTTGCCGCGGTTGCGTCGGAGTTTGATACACCGCAATGTTGCAATAAGCGGAACTGATTGAGTCCCAGTTCCGCTTATTGCATCAGCCAAGCCAATGCCAAGCTAATGCTCCACCGGTACCTGGAGTTGAGGGGGAAAGAAGACACACTACTGATATCTCCTTCATCTTTGGTGTGTTTTCTTGGATTTTGGGCTCGTTTTGAAGCTAATAATTGGTGTTATGAGACACTAAAATTTTATCCCGCACAATGCCGCCGTTGTGGGAGGAGATTGCGGCCGGGTACATGAGGCTGGGGATTCCGGAACGAGGAGGATCATTAGTGAAAAGCAAGGGTCGGCTGACCCCTGCAGGTTTTCGGGTCAACCCTGCGATGGGTCGGGTACGGGTCGCCATTTTCAGACCCGAGATCTTTAAAACGAGCCACAGATCATCAGAAACGGATGGGAAATGGCTGATGTCGTGAACAGCAAGTACGAGCCCCTATTCTCCCTTATCTTATCTTATCGTTTTCATCGCCCTTATCACCTTTTCTTTATTCTCATTTTTGCTCTTATTCTCGACACGGACACTTTCTCCCATGGAACACTGCCTCGTTATGCCCTTCGCCCTACGTCTTATTGTTCTCTCCATTCTTGCACTGCCTCGTTACTCTGTTATTGTCTTCTTTATTCTTCGCGCAGCCTTGTGACTCTCCTTATTGTCCTTTTGTATTTCACCATCTGTTCGTCATCTTGACTCATCGCGGCTATGTAGACAGTAGAATAGGTTTATAAGCTAGGTAGATCCCTCTGTATTTCCTCAGCTTGACCTCTTCGTCAATACACCGGCTTCAGCACTCATCTGCCTTAGTGTGCTCATCGCTCTTATCTCGCTCTCCGCTCTCATCCGCTCCGCTCTTCTGGACTTTGGTTTGGTTTAGTGTTCGCTCTTCGCGACAGCTGAGATATGGTCAAATTATTATTTTAACCATATCTCAGTCATTTCTTATCCGTTTTCGATGATCTAAGACCCAACCTGTGCGGAAAACCCGTCGGGTTACGGGTGGGGTTAAGCCAGGGGTCGGGTCTATTAAACATGTAAGACAATGTACCACTGCAAGTGGGGAAGAGTTTGATGATATTACTCGGCTTAAATAAGCTCAGTGTAATTTAATGCGTGCGCGCACACGCAAAATGGCCACTCCCATCAGTCAACTGGTAACTTGTTTCTTAATCTGGAATGGAGTTCGAAATTGCCCTTCACGTCTTTCCTCGTTCTCTACTTCCCCTTCAACTGACCGTATACTGTCGTGTTCCAACTTGTTTTTGTTGACCTTTGTAGAAACATATACAGTCATTGATCACGTAACGTGACACAATCACGGCACAAATTCTGTGCTGAGCGCACTGCTTGCTGCACGACGCAGGGGAACAAAAAAAGAGTTCGAGAGGGTGAATCATGGTATAAATAAGACAGTACAATACGAATTACAGGCATGAATCAAATCAATGTGTGTTATGTGCTCGAGAAGTAGGACACCTGCAAATTTGGCCAATTTCGGCACCCATCACACAACGTGACAGTACACCGGACATAGCCGCAGCCACCCATCAATCATCGTCCTCGTCATCCTCGTCGCTCTCTCTATCGCTTTCACCGTCACTCAGCTCTGCTTCATCATCACCATGGACATTTTCTTGCTCGAGAGACTTTTTGGCGGCTGCTATGAATGATTTTAAGGTCGGTTTTGGTGCCTTTTTTTCAATATCACGTTGTGGTTTCGGGATGCTGAACCTGGTTTTCTTCGCTCGCGCAGCATTCTTCATCTTGGTCCAAGCTGCCACCTCTGTCTTCAGCTCCTCCTTCGCTGCATCAATCTCAGCATTCTTTGCCTCCCATTCCTTCACAGCCTCCTTCCATGCTGTCCTCGCATCTGCCTTCCTTCCGGCCTCCTCAACCTGCTGCTGTTGCCATTCCGTGAATTTCACCACTTGCTCGTAGAAGCCGTCGCCTGAAAGCATGCGTGGAAGGCCATCTCCCATGAGTTTTGTATTTTTCTTTCCCTTCTTCTTCTCCTTCATCGCTAACTGGATACGTAATTTGTTGCAGTAGGCATCGTTGAGAATCTGGGCAGCTTGCAAGGTTACGATCCGTTGTCGAAGAACTTCTTCAACTCCAACTCCCGGAGTGCCTGCAATAGCAGCGCTTCTTGTTCTGACTTCGGTTCAAGCTTCAACATCTCGGCGATGGACGGGGATGGGTTTGGAATGGGCTCGGTGTCAATGGTGATCCGTGGTGAGTTTGAAGTTGCTAGAGAGTTGCCCAGAATGTAACCCATGTTTGTCTTTGCTAGTTCCTTTGCTGCTTCGCCAATTATTGCCCGTCGGCGTGCGACCTGAGCCTCGGATGGAGATGGTGGCCCATCGGAATCATCTTCTTCATTGATTGTACCTAGTGGGGTGTCGTTCTCGATAGATAGTGTGTGTAACATCTTCGTAATCAGTTTCAATGGAGTCGGAGGGGGTGCAGGTAGATTTGAGTCTGTGAGAGATGATGTTTGGCTGGGAGCAAGCATATGTGGGGTGATGACCGAGCGGTCAAATGGAACAACACCTGTCTTCCGAAAGGCCTCTTTGACGTTGTGAGAGGTGAGTGCATCGAGATGGGCCCGCCCATAGATGCCAAGGAAGTTCTCTTTCGTTATATCTTGGCCCATCTTCCTGACAAATTCATCGCGTTCATAGCTGAGGCGGCGTTTGAGGACGGAGAAGATGATGACGTCCAGTCCCTGATAGATGTGCGTGGTGTGGGAGGGGTAGCACAAGACGATAATCTTGTGTTCTCGGGCGAACGTGAGGAAATCAAGGCTGTAATGCGAGGTGTGGCCATCAACTAGGAGTAACCGCCATTCCCCTTCTGCCTTGTCTGCTGTCTGCTCATTGAAAAGCTTGAGCCAGTCTGTGCCAATCTCGTTATCAGTCCATCCCTTCTTCGAATACCCGATTCTGGATGTAATGAGGGTGCAATCAGCCGACATGATTAAAGATCAAAAAGCGGAACATACGAAGCATTGGCAGGGTTACTTTGGTCACCCCACTTAACCTGATAGCCCTTGCCCTTGAAAATAATGGCCGGAGGAGGTGCTGTTCCATCAGCACATATAGTGACCAGGACAGTGATATTCTCCCGATTCCCGGTGCGCTGCTGAAATTGGGGACCATGCTGATGTGTTCCGATCACGCGCTCGCGTTCTGCTCCATAAGGCTGACATCCGACTTCATCAACAGCGTAGATATTGTGCGTTTTGATGGCGTATTCTGTGAGTGTGCCCTCGAGTAGGTCAAACCACGCTTTGTTATTGTTCGGATTTGCTGCCTTGAGCCTCTTTGACTCCTGTGGGGTCGACCATACTGTTTTGAGCACATCGGCATGCCTCTTTACAAATCTCTCTGTCCACCGTTTCCCTACTCCACCCTCCGGGAACTTATCACCAAGACGAGCTCGGAGGATCCTGTCAACTTCGATTTTGAGACGTCGATGGCTTAGTGGAAATCCTTGACTGGCGGATTTGATGATATACTGGATAACGACCTCTATTTCCTCTGGCAACAACCACTCCAACTCCTGTGCTGCTGCTAGTTTACTCTTCCGCCCTTTCCACTGTTCCAGCAACGTGTTGTGATTCAGCTTGATGATTCTACCGGTGGTTTCGAGGTGGATTTTCTCATAATTTTGACATATCGTGCGAGAACTAAGTCTGGAAGCGCCCGGCGGCTTTGCCTGCTCGAGATCATAGGCAGCTACAGCCCTCTTCATCAACTCTTCCTTCTCCTGGGCAAGTATCCTGGCCCTTTCTTGCTGAGATTTCGCTTTGTTGACCATCGGAGAGTTACAAGAGTGTTGGAAGGGGAGTAGGCATAGAAATGAGGATGAAAACTCACGGGGTACACGCCTGCCTCACCTTGTATTGACCTTGCGGTATCAATGAGCTGATTTCTCCGAAAAAGGTCCTGTGACATGAGGCGTGTGTTTTCAAGTCAATGCTGTAAAGGCGGCGGAAACAACACTTGGCGCATCATCTCTGATGGCTTACGACAATAATGGCTGTCCTACCCAAGTGACAGGATCCCTTTCTACGTCCAAAAGCAACCAAACTTTTTTCATATCCATTAAAAACCTTGTATTTTGACTATGTACTGTGTTATTGCTGTCGATGCTTTAACTCGGCTGATGAAGTAAATGGATATACATTGGAGGCATACACTGCGCCTACTAAGCGAAGACTTTCGAGCAAAAAATCTGGCTTAGAGCGCCCATTTTCAGTCATTTATGGCGCCTTATCTTTATCAGTGTCTCGCTGCTTGATCATGTCACGTGACCTGATCAATGACTGTATTTAGTGGTCATAAAATAATTATGTAAAAACCCGTTTTCAACCTCACCTTTCCATTTAAAAAATATGCCCAGCCCTCTGTCGGAGTTTCAAAATTCAAATGGTTCCTCGACGGCAACCGATTCCTTCCTGTTCGTCGTATACTACTTACCCGACTTCTTCTTTGTATACTTACCCGGGGTCTAATACTTAACTTGGTTGTGTATTACTGGGTGAACTGTAATAATAGTAACTAGTCTTCTTTTCTCTGTTCAGCGTGCACTTACCCGAAATCTTCGATGAGAACTGTATCCTAGCTCTGACTTGGTCAATTTCGTTGTGTATTCGTTAGTGAACTAGCTATAGTAATACTACTCTTTTGTTACATTTTCTAAATACATCAGTAAAGGTGATTACGGCGGAGCCTTATTTAAGCCGAGTCTCCGCCATGCATGTGCATTGGCCCGTATACTAGTTGAGTTTGGAAGGGCTTAAGTTCTTGAGTACGCTCAGCGCGCTATTCATAGCTGCACTTAGCGAGGGGGAGTGTTGAACTTATCTTATCTTATCTGTAGATTATATCGTAGATTAGATTAGATTAGTAAGACTCAGTCCAGAACACTCTAGAACATTCTAGTGTAGAACATTCTGGAACGTCACATGAGTAGGTGCTAATACTTGCACCATATTGTGTCATTATCGCTCATGATGACTCATTCGCTTACTCACCCGTCACACCTTCCATATTTATGTAGTATACGTCACATCTGTCACACTTCCTGTAAACTATAAATACCGGCCCTCCCTGGCCTTGGAATAGATGACAGAGTTCGTCACAACTCTTGTAGTTAGCCACTAGTTAGCCTCACATAACACTCTACCTGGTAAGTCTTAGAGTAGACCACCTTAGCTAGATAGTGTTTGCTCGACACCTACAAGGATATGGCTTACCTCAGCCAGAGTTACAGATGGCTGAGTTGACAAACGAGCTTCGAAGGTGGAGTGGTCGAGAAGAGGAGATGGCGAACAGGGCGGACGAAGATGTTGGCCGATTTAATGCAGAACAACGAGCGTTGTACGATGCGGTGTTGAGTGCAGTGATGGATCAGAGGCCACTGCGCCTGTTTGTTGACGGGAAGGCGGGCACAGGAAAGACGACGGTGGTTCGAGCATTGTGCAACAGGCTCAGATCGATGAGGCGGGTGGTCCTGCCCACAGCAACACCAGCATTCGCTGCTCAGCTGTACGAAGGTGGTCGAACAACACATTCTACATTCAAGGTGACAAATCGCACATTCATATAGGAGACACTTACGAAAAAATGCCACCCCACAGGTTCCAGTGAATGAATCCAACGAGATGTTGGTTGCTGGCATCACCGCTGGCGACTCTCGCTCCGAGTTGATTGAGAGTGCGGCGATGATTGTGTGGGACGAGGCGCCGATGGCCAACCGAGCAGTTCCAAGCTGTGTGAACGATGTTCTGTGTGACATTATGGCGACGGACGAACCATTTGGAGGGAAAGTCATCATTCTGCTGGGAGACTTCCGTCAAACTTGCCCCGTCATTCGTCGAGGCTCCCGTGCAGAGGTTGTTGAGGCGTCCATAAAATCTTCACCACTGTGGAGATACTTCACAATCCATCGACTGATCCACCCAATCCGTAATGCTGAGGATCCAGACTTCGCGGCGTTCGTTAACTCAATTGGCGACGGAGCAGGACCGGACATACCTTTGCAAAACCTGGCCATAGCAGCAGACGAAGACCACATGTGCAATTTCGTCTTCCCAAACGGTGTTCTAGCCGATCCCCGCCGATGTGTACTGCGCGCCATCCTTGCTCCGACAAATCGACAGGTAGATGCGTATAACGACCGAATGCTGGATCGACTTCCTGGGGATCGCAAGCGTTACTTCGCCGCAGATAAGATCAAGGAGTCCGAGGAAGCTGACCTACCTCCACCCGAAGGAATCCTTGACTATGTCATGCGCAACAACCTGCCAGGCATCCCTCCCCACTCAATATCGTTGAAAGTGGGCGCCGTGTGCCGACTCCTCCGCAATTTCTCAATTGATCGAGGATTGGTGAAGAACATCCGAGTGGTGGTTACAGGCCTTGGAACGTGTTTGATATCAGTACGGGTTCTTAACGACATGAACATGGCTGGGGCTGAGGAGGTGTTGATCCTGAGAATTACGTTCGAATACTTCCTCCATTCAGGGCATACACTGGCTCGACGACAATTTCCTTTCGCGCCCACCTACGCTACAACGTTCAATAGCTGTCAGGGCCTAACTTTAGATCGCGTAGGAGTTGACCTCACCTGTCCAGTTTTCTCCCATGGGCAGTTATACACTGCAATGTCGCATATCCGGAATCGCACACATGCTGTTTTCCGGTTACCTGCAGGTGCTACTTCGACGACAAATGTAACCTATCACGAGATATTAGCGTAAAAAGTAGATTATTTATGACCTTAACGAACGTTGAACGTCGGATTCACATTCCAACGACCACGTGCCCCTTCGGGCCTTGGGGAACCCGGATGCCGGAGGACCAATGCCCTGCGCGATGGCCCAAAAAGATGGAATTCGTGTATTGTGGCATTCAATTTTTGGCACTATAACAATAGAAGTACATGAAATGGTGCTACTTACATGACCCCCCTCTGTTACAATGCGGCGGACCTCTACAAACTCAAGGTAGATAGGGCACTAGGCTGCACTAGGGTCCACTAGGGCTAAGTTAGGGTGTGCCGAAGCGGAGCGAGGCTGAGCTTGTCTCATCTATATCAGGATCTCCGATCCGGGAATCCGGACCGACACCGAGCCCCGCCATCAGACAATGAGCGCGTCGGTTCTTCGACGCGACGACGAGCGCTAGACGCGAGCGGGTGACCCGAGAATTTCAGGAAAGAAGGGGGAAAAACAACTCTTACCTATGCACGAAACAGTAGCCACGAAAGGTCAATATAGAAAAGAGTTCTTCATCCTCAACAGTCCCGAGATTTACCGAAAGACGAAGGAAGCTGTCAAGGACTTCCCCGCCGCGTCCAATATCACCGTTGTCGCAGTCAATGCAGTTTCACCAATCAGGAAGCCGATGTCCCTGTCCCCCGAGATGCGCTCCTTGCACCCGCTCCTCCGACCCCGGCGCGAGGTGAACCATGGGATGGATGTTCTTATGACGGGCGCTCCAGGTCACCGACTCCGATTCCGTTGCAAAGACGATCCACCAGACATCATCAGCAGCCGAATGGGCAAGGGAACGGTGGTGGCACAGATGATTCGGGCAGTGACGACGACCGGGAGGACAACATGCCGGGGTATGTGGAACCTGAGGATGGTAGGGAGGGACGACCAACACTTCCTGCCTACGAGAACGCGACATTTCAAACGGCACATGCTGTTAACCTGCAAATCAACAATCTCAACGTAAGCCACCGAGACAACAGGATAACCGCCACGAGTCTCGTCAGCATCAGCGCAAGCTCCATCGACGAGCTGTCGACGGAAATTATCCGCGCGATCGATACCACATGCGGATCTCACGAGACGGCGATGGCGTGCAATTGGGGATCAGGGCCTTTCGCTGCCGGACTCACAATCAGTCAGGCGGTGCAGTTCCCTTCCTGGTTCATTAATGTGTGAGTGCATCACCAACTTTCCCAATACTCTGAAATGTTCTAACATAACTCTTCCCCCAGCGGTGTGCCAGGTGATACACGGATTGACGGTTTTGGAAGTGGAGTCACCCGGCAGGTGCTTTCTTCTGCTGTGGGCAAAGCTTGTCAACGGCTCGGTCAGAGCTGGGTGGAGCCAACCCACGGAGAAAGGTATGGGACACTGTCCGGCTTGAGATCGAACCGATTTGCCTCGACGGCTAGGCGCACAGAGTGCTTCACCCTTGGGGTGATTCGTGCACTCTGCCTCGTCATCGGAGAAATCCCCCCATTGCCTGTTTCCCCTGCACTGATCGTGGCAGCCGTGTGTTAAAAGGGAAAAGTGACCACATCCGGAATTGAACCAGAGACTTCCTCTACACATGAGGGACGCTCTAACCACTGAGCTATATGGTCTTGTTCAAAGCAGGAGTAGGAGTAAGTATAACCTCCTAGGATGGGTTTGAAGGGGCTTATGCCACGTTGGGCTGTGCCACAAGGGGGCTATGCCACAGGTTGGGCTTATGCCACATGTTCAGGGACCCTGACCATGATCAGAGAGTGAAGTCAACAGAGTGACATATTCACAATCTAACACCGTGGAAGGTGCAAGTGCCATCGTTGACCGCGAGTTCCTCCACCTGCTGTTCCCTTCTGTATCTGCGTTTGTTGGCCTTATCCCTGAGGACCATGGTCAGGGCATAGCCTATTCCCAACCGCTTCAGCTGTTCTTCCAATCATGCTTGGAAGACTTTCAGGTGAGTAATAACGTCAGTCCTAGTGTCGTAATACACCACTGACTGACACCAATCACTAGGTTACGTACGGTCAACCAGCACAATCCGCCGAAGATCGACAAATGATAATACATGCTGCCGTCACCGGATCTCTCCTCTGCCATCCAGTAGAGGAGGATCAGGCTGACTGTAGACTCTTCCAAGCGTTCTCAAAGGGGTTCAATATCCCACTTGCGGGTGGAGGAGGTTTGAAACCGGTGAGTGTATACTCGGAGTGTGGGTTTTTTGCTGGACTGAAACACATCTTTTAGTTCCTATCAGGTTCGATCAAGGCGATTGTCGCCAATGCATATCACTGATCAATCACCTCCCCGTTCGATCTTATTCCGAAGCTCGATTTCACGTTCTCAGATGAAATCACGAGGGAGGACCAGGAGGCGTTCTCCAATGCATTCAAGCGCTATGTACATGGCGTCGGTCACCCTGGCTCGCCGGAGATCGAAGCAATGGTTTCCGCGGAAACCCGGGCGGCAGAGGCACACGATGCATTGTATCGTGCGAAGCGCGTCGCAATGGTCACTACTGGGGTCGACCTGCTTCCTCACCAGGGGCAAAATATCAAGGTATCTATTTTCTATGCCATTCAATGCTGCTTGTCCTAAAAAAGTCGCTTTTTAGATTGAACTGAGCTCAGCGCCCCCGCCAGACAGCTATCGTCAACGGCTTGCAGACGTAGGTGTTGGCTTTCCTTTTCTTTCCTTTTCTTGGTTTTTTTTTTTTTTTTCCTCTCTCTATATGCGTTGTCTGATGATCATTACTATGCCAGGTGGAACGACAGGCACTCCTTGGTTATGTCCAGGCGTGCTTCTTCAAGGTTATATTTTTCCTCAGCGACCCTTTGCGCACTGCACTGCAGCAATGGAACAAACCATTGGGTGAAGATACGAGAATGGACATCATTCTCCATCAAACATTTTGCATGGTAGGAGGAGTGGAGGATGGTTATACACTTTAACGATTTTCAGTAATCATTCGCTTCTTTTTTTTCATTCTTTTTCTTTGGGAATCAAGACAGCGCTCATCATTCGTTTCTTTATGATTTTTTTTTTTTTTGGGAGGATCAAGACATAGCGCATTCGTTTCTTAATTTTTTTGGGGGGGAATCATGACATAGCGCTCCCTACTGTTTCATTATATCAGCTGCACTGGTTTCATTTCATATTCGTTTATTCATACAATTATGTCTCGCTGGCTCACGGTTTTTTCACACTCGCTTTTCCTTTTTTTTTAACTTTACTGGGAAAGTTGTCTTTTCCCCACTTAATATTATTGACGGACGTTGGTGCATTATATCGCGATCTTAAAGCGGGGGCAGACATAGCCCAGTAAAATATACCCTCCCACAGTGCTTCCCGATGGCCCATTGGATTCGATGTACTGGTGTAGCAGTTGAAGTTGGTGTGGGGTATAAGGGCATGATTCAGGTTCGACGTTGACAATTGAAAACTCCTCTGGCTCCACTGTATACTGGTAAGGAAGTTGGTCATCTGTCCTTCCCGCTGCCTCTTGACGTTCGTTGTGACTGGTACGGGTAGGGACGTACTCGACATCGCGCCAGTCAATGCCATAGCCAACAGCCTCGTCATCAGTCATTTCGGGAGCAGGGGGAATGGTTCGTTGAAGCAAACTCTCAATGCGACAACCTTCCGGAGGTGTGGTTCCTTCGGGGAACTGCATACAGTGGTTGTTCCAAGTTTGCCTCCAGGCGTCAATGTCGGAATTGATAACAGGTAAGAAGACCCGATGGAGGAGCCAAATGTGTTCAGCGGAGTCGGGGTTCAGGAGCCCAAACTCCAGGTATGTGCTCCCTTTGAATATATTAGTGCTTTCCTCTCACTGCTGGACTCCAGTTCGCTGTTTTAACAGGTTATGAGCCCCGGCTCCCTCTAGCCACCTCCTGAACAGTCAACTCGACGCTCCCAGCAGTTGTTTCGCAATTTTCTGCGCAACCGAAGGGCCACGTCATCCTCGTTTTTTCTGCCACGTCCCCTCGTTGCGCGCTACCTCTTCGCTCAACAACGAACGCCCCTCGCTGTTCGTTCACCCGCTATCTACCGTTCGAATCAGCTGTCCGCGCTCTGTGAGCTGCGCACTCCGATTCATTTCGACTCTACCGGCTCAGTTTCGTCGCCGTTTCGCTTGTTTCTTCGTGCACGTCCCTGCGTCCCTGCGTCCCCGTCCACCACCGTCTACCACGATGTCAACGTCGACCCCGACCTTCGCCGAGCTAGGCTCAACGAACTACAGTCTCTGGGCTGGTGACATGGAGGCCTGGTTCCGGGCCCTTGGACTCTGGAGGATTGTCAATGGCACCTCTCTTCGCCCTACCCGTGTTGGGGACATTACCATTACACCGTCCTCAGACGCGGTAGAGGCCTGGGAGACCAAGGCAGACAAGGCTGCTGGCTGGATCTGGCTTATGCTGGAGGACAGTCAGAAGATCCATGTTTCTTCGCACAGGGACGATCCCTGCAAGATGTGGACGCTGCTGCGTAATGCCCACATGCAGCAGAAGCCTGGCACCCGCTTCAACGCCTACGACGACCTCTTCTCCATCCGGAAACGCGAAGACGAGTCCCTCCAGGCCCTCATGAACCGTGTGGACGACGTCATGAAGCTCATCAAGGACCTCCGGCCTGCCGACTTCACCCTGGACAAGCTGGACAACGAGCTGACCGCGATGGCACTCATTCGAGCCCTTCCGGACGAGTTCAGCGCCTTCACCTCGTCTCTTCTGCTCCTGGACAAGGTCGACAGCGAAACCATCCGTCAGGCCTTCATTGCTGAAGAAGCCCAGGGAGATACAGACCCTGCTAGCCAACGGTACTTGGACTTCGGCTGATCTGCCTCCAGGAGTCAAGGTCTTGCCCTGTGGATGGGTCTTCAAGATCAAGTTCAATCCGGACGGCACCATTGAGCGCTACAAGGCTCGTCTCGTCGCCAAGGGCTACTCCCAGCGTCCCGGCATCGACTTCACCGAGGTTTTCGCCCCCACTTACCGTCCTGCTGCGCTCCGGCTCGTCCTTGCCCTTGCTGCATCTTGCTCTTGCTGCAGCTGAGGACATGCATCTGCGCTCTGTGGACATCTCCTCTGCGTTCTGTTAGAATTTGTGACTTTGGCACTTTCCCTTGGTCGATTCCCTTCATGTTTAGTGTCATTCGAACCGGCCTTTTACGCTCTTTCTAACGTTACGCTCTTTCTAACGGTACCCGGGGGACGGTAATCCGTCCACTGGTTACCGAGGTATTTATGTTTTACTTCGTTTTGCTAATAACTCCGGAGCCAAGCCCCGGATTCCTTGGCTTCGTTTCTTGTGTTCTCGCCTATGCGGACCTCCGTCTCCAGACATTTCATACTCCGCAATTGTGTTATATATAGTCGCAGCATCATTCTGGAGTCCCTCAGTGCTTTCCTCTCACTGCTGGACTCCAGTTCGCTGTTTTAGGGTCTCTACAGCTTCGAGAAACAGATCGAGCACCGTCTGCGCTCGATTGTTATTGTGGGCGCGGAGTCCTGCTGTCCCAAATCGTTAACAGACTGTGTGTGTAAACCGGTTGGCCTGGTGGCACCACTCCCGCTTCTACTGCTCAGCGTTGGATGGTTCTTGAAGACACGCCCAGCTGCCTGGCCAGGGAGGTGGAGCCCTGATGGCAGAGAGCCGTGGTAAGCATCGCCTGGTCGATGACTTTCCTAGGACGTCCGGGATTTCCAGTGTACTCGTCCTGTACAAACAAGGGATGAGGACCTCGGGGGGCTGGTGCTGATGACATTGCCTGCTCGAGTTCGTCTTTCATCCTCGCGATGCTGTCGTCGATAATCCATTGTTGGTCGGGGGAAGGGTTTGAATAACCTGTGGAGGGATATGTGGAAGATGGCAGTGCCCTGGGGTCGCGATTACCGCTGTGGATGTGCAAGCCTCGGCGAGTGTCCTCTTGGAGTCAAGAAAACTTTCTGGCAAGGTTGGGCTGTGGCATTGGGCAGTAAGTTTCACAAAAAGATTGCCTCGTTTGGTTGGCTTATACAAGAGCTATAAACGTCCGTCGTGGAGAGGGAAGCTTGTGAAATGTGTTCTTTCTGTTCAGTTTCCGAAGGGGATCCACCAGTTCTTGGGTTCTTGATTTCACTGTTTATATACAGATTCACGTTGACTACCTACACGCATGCCAATGGAAGCTTATGCCAACAGTTTCGGCTTTAAGGCGTCGGGTCTCGCCCAAACACCCGGGACCATGCCCGTTCTATCGCAGGATTTGCAACTGAGCGACTAAAGCTATTAATCTTGCCTTGCGAGTCGTGACTCTGTTAAGAAGTCGGATTGTTGCAACCCGGAGTCGGAAGGAATTGTACCTACGATCGACCACCGTCGGACGTTCACCAAAACCCAACAATGACGATGACTTCTTCGCCGCCCGCCACCAACCACCAACCAGCACCAATAACTTGCCCACCACACCAACCGCTTCCACTCACCAAGCCCAACACTACACCAGAAGGAGTTCGTGCTGATCGGGCGTATAATGAATAGTGAGAGGGAACGACTGGTCGAAGGTCCAACCGCCAACTCTACCAACGCATGGACACCGACCATGGAGGCCTAACCGCTCGACCCAAGATGACAAGTACCGACGCTCGTAACAAGTCAGGTCAGACTTTTTTGCGTCTAACTCCTGCACAAAGCAGTCACCCAACGAAGAGTCCGATGCACTCGACCAGACGAAGGGTCCTAAAGTCTCGCCCGAGAATTTGGCCTAATACCGAGGGATTTGCTGCAAGCTTTTACCCGACCTCACCGTGCTCGTCGACGGTGCCCAATCTCGGTGAACAGGAATTCTTCAAGCCCTAATCGAATGGTAGAGAACGGGCGTATGGCTACAATCACAGCAGTCACAGCTATCATCATCGACAGTACATAAGTCTGGCCAGTGCACTCTCAAGTTACCAAACCAATGATGAGCTCGCAGAGGCCATAGGCCAAATGGATTTGGAGTGTTCTTGGATGGAGTGGGACGAGAATGCTCGGAGGTGTTCATATTGGGGCGCGTCTCACTACCAATCGACCCTCCAGCATGTTTTAGACACCACTTGATTTAACAGAAATTGAAGGGGATACGTTAGAATCATCGCTCACCATGTCTACGGCCCTCGCAGCTTCAAGCTCTCAGATGCTGAGCTCAAAAACGAAAGGGTTGCTTCTGCTGTACAAGACTATACGGACAATGAGAGGTATATGTGGTGTAGAATAAAGGAGACGGTTTCGGACGACGATGGGTAAAACTGAATTTCTGGTTCCTTTAGACAGGGTCACAGTCACCGTGACGTGCGTGTGACAGGCCTGGCTGCTGTCACGCTGCATCAAGCTTCCACGTCTTCCCACTCGTTGTCATCATTGTCCTCCTCATCCTCTTCGATTTCCCCTCCGGTGTTTTCCAAAAATCGCGAAAGCTGAGGCTTGGGTGGTTGCGGAATGGGAGAGAAGTCATGGTCAGTGGATTTGGGCTCTGGGTGCGTCATAATCCAGTCTTTTACGTGCACACCTATCTCTTTCATCGCTGCCTTCTCCGCAGCCCAAGCACTCTTCGCTTCTGCTAACCATCACTTTCTCATCAGGTTTAACTCCTTCCGCTCGACCTCAGCAGCCTCCCATGCAGTCACAGCCACTGCCAGCTTCCTCTCTGCCTCTGCCTTCTCCTCCTTACGTTGCTTCTCCTCCGCCTCCGCCTTCAACTGTGCTTCAGCTCGTTCGATCAAGACATCATCAGTCAAGACCCGCCGATCGTCATCACCCTTCAGCCTTGTCAATGATTTTTGCTTCTTTGACTCCTCATGGCCAACTGGTGACGAACTTTCCGGCAACAAATGCTGCAAAACCATTCTCGATTGGAGCTCGATGCTACGGCTCTTCCAGTATTGGGATTGAGTGTGCAAATGGAGTGCCGCCTGTAAATCGTGTTCAAGGGAGGTGTGCGCCGTATGTGATAGTAGCTTGTCAATATCATGTCGTTTTCCCCCCGCTACCAACTTTTGTGGGTGATATCTGGATTGTCGGGTTCCGATGACGACTTTACCGGTGATTTGCTGAAGAGGAAGCCAATGCTGGTCTGCTTCAGCTCGTCAGTGGCCGTGCGAGTCCTAAATGTGATGGCTGTCTGCTTACTCTTGAGAATATCAAGGTGGACACTGCCATATATAGTGAGGAAGTTTTCTTTGCTAATATGGACTCCATCCTCGCGTAGAAGGGCATCCCTTCGCTTGCCAAATACTTGCTTCAGGGGACTAAACACCACAACATCGAGGCCCTAATAGACGTGGGTGGAGTGGGGAATGTAACAGAGGACCCGAATGTTGTTAAGACGACAATAGTTCACGAATTCAAATGTTGTTTGAGAATTGTGGCCATCAATGTACAGAATGCGGGTACGTCCGGCAGCAATTTCGCGTGTTTGATTGTCGAAATCCAGCGCATATTCAACGCCTATAACCTTGTCCGTCCATCCATTCGGTGAAAATCCTAATCTGATACATGCTCAGTAATTAAACCAAAGACATTTGATCTGTTCACCTCGCTTTAGCCGGATTATCATGACATTTCAGAAGAAAAGCTTTTCCAGCATACAATACAAGTGGCTTTAAAGCCACGCCATTCCCCGCAATGTTGACAAGGACAGTGATATTCTCCCGTGTTCCTTTCAGCTTCTGGGATTGCATCCTCTGGCCAGCACCTCCAATCACCACTTCGTAACCCTCCTTCCCATTCGGCTGAAATCCTGTCTTGTCCATGGCAAAGCACTCTGTTAAATCAGCGAACTGGAGTCCAGCAGTGAGAGGAAAGCACTGGTATATTCAAAGGGAGCACATACCTGGAGTCCAGCAGTGAGAGGAAAGCACTGAGGGACTCCAGAATGATGCTGCGACTATATAACACAATTGCGGAGTATGAAATGTTGGGAGAGGGAGGTCCGCATAGGCGAGAACACAAGCAAGGTCGAAGCCTAGTAATCCGGGGCTTGGCTCCGGAGTTATTAGCAAAACGAAGTAAAACGTAAATATCTCGGTAACCAGTGGACGGATTACCGTCCCCCGGGAGGGAAAGTGCCAAAGTCACAAATTCTAACATTCACCTCGTCTCTTCTGCTCCTGGACAAGCTCGACAGCGAAACCATCCGTCAGGCCCTCATTGCTGAAGAAGCCCAGCGCCGTCGTCGTGCAAATGACGCCTCCACCGCGGCTCTAGCCCATTCCGCTTCGACACCCCTCTCCTGCGACTTCTGTGGCATGAACAACCACGTCGTCGCCACCTGCCATGCTTACAGTGCCCAGGCCAACGCCAGGGACAACGCCGTCAAGCGTCGCAAGAAGCGCGGTCAGCAAGCCAAGCAAGCACAAGACTCCGCTCCCACTGATGCATCGGCCTCCCAGGCCTTTGCAGACGTGGTTGAGTACGCTGGAAATGCAAGTACCCGTCTCCCGGATCCCAGGGATCCTTCCTCTCCGCTTCAGCTTATGCTGTTGGTATGGGCACGACAGTCTTCCAGCCTGTTGTAGATGGGAGGGCCTCTAGGCCTGGTTGAGTTATCACGAGTTTTGCATGTACCAGAGCTCCGGAGCAATCTGCTGTCTTGTCTGTACCCGGGTCAAGGGTTTCAATATACTCATTTCTTCTTCGCAACTTCGCTTCATTCGTGCTGGTTCATGTCTATTCACCGCCTCCATCCATCCCAACAACTCTGCAACACTCGATGGCACCACTGCAGCCTCTGTAGAGGCAGTCTCAGCCGCCTCCACTGTTCCTGTCACCCTTGAACTGCTCCATTGTCGTCTCATTCACCACAACCACGCTGATATCAAGCGTCTGCTGGACAACAAGATGGCGACTGGCATCCCTACAGTCTCCACGAAGCCACCGGTGTACGGGCCCTGCATCGATGGCAAGTTGCAGTCTGGTTCCTTTCCTTCCACAGGCAACTGCGCTTCCACCCCGCCCATTCTGACTTGCACGGCCCCAAGGAGGTCCCTACTCGCGAGGGATACCGCTACTGGATCACCTTCATCGACGACTGCACTCGTTTCCGCGTTGCTGTGCCTCTCAAGCGCAAGAGCGACGCTTTCGACGCATTCCGGAGATACAAGGCATGGGCAGAGACCCAGTTGGGCGCAAAGATCAAGTGTTTGCATGGGGGAGTACATGTCCAACGCATTTCGCAAGTTTACAGACGACTGCGGCATCGAGCGACGCCATACGACGCGCAACAGAGCGAGCGAACAGGACGATGAACGAAGACATCAAGGCGATGCTTTCCGAGTCAAAGCTGCCTCCTTCGTTCTGGGGTGACGCCCTGGCGACTCAGATCAAGATCTGGAACTGCCTGCCCACTGCTTCGCTCCCTGGCATGACGCCGTACCAGGCCTGGTACAAGCGCAAGCCAGATCTCAGCATGATCAGGGTGTTTGGGTGCACGGCCTATGTGTTTGTGCAGAAGGACCAGCGCAAATCGCTCCAGCCGCACGCGCAAAAGTGCATCTTTGTGGGTTATGCGCCACCCGCTCGATCAATGAAAGCCATGGGTCCCCAGACCCCTGCTGAAGTCGAGGAGATGCGCAACGTTCCCTATCTCGCTGCCGTTGGTGTTAGAATTTGTGACTTTGGCACTTTTCCTTGGTCGATTTCCTTCATGTTTAGTATCATTCAAACCAGCCTTTCACGCTCTTTCGAACGATACCCGAGGGAAGGAAATCCGTCCAGCGGTTACCAAGATATTTACTTGATCTTATTTTGCTAATAACTCCGAAGCCAAGCCTGGTATCGCTTAGCTTCAACCTTGCATGTGTTTACGGATGTACGGAGCCCGTCTCCCCTCTGGAGTCCCCCAGTGCTTTCCCTCACTGTTGGACTCCAGGTATGTGCTCCCCTTTTTGAACACATTAGTGCTTTCCCTCACTGTTGGACTCCAGTTCGCTGTTTTAATAAAGTCCTTAGTCCTTCAACTCCCATATGAGCATGTCGCCACCCCGCGTTACATTCATTTCAAAGTTTTTACCGAGAGACACGCACACCGAGAGAACACGAGCTTGAGTCTCGCTGGTCGCCAGTTAGTCACGGTATGCTTTTAATCTCGGGTCAATTGACTTACAATACCGCCACTCTTGTACAGGTATGCGTTATGTAGTAGAGAGTTTTGGTTTTCTGCCATTTCCAACAATGCGAATGGCTCCTGCAACAGTTCAAGCAGACGTACCATCTTGGTGTTTTCGACGACCTTGTCGATAATAGATACCCAGTGTTTCCCTTGTTCTTTGTATACGATCAAATGCAGCTTCATGAAGAATGTCAGATACGAGGTAAAATGACTTGAAGCACAACCTACTAAGATGACTTTGATACCAGTGCTCGCTCGAGGAAGTTCGTCAGTGCAAGGCTTTACAAACGAGATCAGTTATAATACAAGATGTCTTCATGTGGAATAATACCTACAGAAGTAATTTCCGAACACTTATTTGCACGGGCAAGAATCTATTGTTGGTGGTCGAGGACTTCTCCATCGTTGGAAGGATGATGTACGATTTTTGGGAGATACAGCTCAGGTTCTACTTGCCTTATGTACAATTTTCGGTCCATGAGGCAAGGCTCTCGACATTTCGAAGTTTCATTCTGGGTGGACCTCTTGTGGCAGGAGGGCTGGAGTTGCGGGAAGGTAATATGACGATATCACATTTCTAGAAACGAGAGGTAGACTGTTAAGGAAGCGGATGCTATATACTATTAGCTTCCTATAGGCCGCCATTGTCTTGTTTTAATTGTCGAGAAAGGAATTAAGCTACGAGGTAGATAGTGCAGATCGGGTGTTCCTCCAATTCCCCATAGTATTGCAAGCCAGTTTTTAGCGCTAAAGCTTATTAGGACGAAACTTGCGAAGAATTTATCCTGAGACCTACTATACTAGTACTAAATTTTTGATGTTGAAGATGTCACATTCCACGATGAGTGACTTGAACACTTACCTCACCATCCAAGGACCAAGATGGTGCTTTCAACTTTCCCGTAGATGACATACTTCCATATGTCCGTCCGGTAGACCACTGCCCCTGGCTGAGGGTTTCTAGAATCAGTCTCTGCCCGGTTTTTCCTGCATGGTCAGAGCACATACTGAGTAGGTGATAGCTTGCCAACAGCTTTTGCTGACAGCTGTAGCAGGTCCAACTTGAATTGGCATGGTTTTCTGTGCTTCTGAAGCAATGTTGATGGAACACGGATAAAGCAAGGTTAGGAAGAACATTCATAAAGAACGGCAGAATCTACGATAACCCACGGTAAACACGGGCTCTAGTAACAGATAACGAGAGAAAGAAGAAAAAAGCCAACTTGAATGTATCCTATTTTTTTCAGTGGAAGCCTTCCAGGGAGGAAGATTCTGTTTTTGGGTTAATTGGTGACGAAACCACACAGATCTACTGTGTGGATAGGGGATTCGATCTCAAACACGAAGTATCCAGAGCACCAATTGTGTTATTGCAAGCCTCAATAATCTCCAGATTTCAACCCCATTTGGAGGTTATCGAGACTTGCAATAAGCAGTCGGGATTTTCCGCGTGTGGGTATGTAATATGAATCCATTGATTTTCCTCTGCAAGCACTGGAGTAGGCGGCGACGAATTGTGGAACTAACAAAACAGCCAGCTCAACGCAGGATGTGCAGCATGATATTATTTGTACATATTTATACGGTTACAAATCTCGGTTCACATCGTTGACAGACAAAGTCCTCGCCACGGCGGACGACCTGGACTCGGCGGTCGCGCTTTTGGCATTTCTTCCTTTTTCCCTTGCTAAGACCTCACCAATGAAGTTTGTGCGAAACTGACGACTTGACTACCCAACCGCCTACTAGACGACGTGAAGAGCTTATACGCCCTTGACTTTACTCCAAGCATAAGGGGCGTGGGAGTATTCGGTGGGAAGTGGGCTTGAACGCCAACCCTCCGCCCTGTGGGCACCCTCGCAAGTCATGCTTGCAATTATTTGGGGAAGCTCGTCAACTCGCCATCATCAAGCTAATGTAACTTGTATACACATTCGTGAGCTTTGGTTGATAATCCACCTTCCTGCCTACCCTCCGCATTTCCTCCTAATCATCTGATCCACTTTCCGCCGTAGTCAGTGGATCTGACACATCCATCGCAAAGCTGGACCAATGCGATGGTCAATAACCAGGGATTCTAGACCGGGGAGCACCACCCCTAAAATGCTGATGAATTCAGGGACATCGATGCAGTGTGATAGGCGTGAGTGAAGAATCTTCAAGCTAGATGTAACTCTATTTGACTCAAAGGTGTCTAGAAGTGAACTGAAGGCATCGAAGCCCAGTATTGGCATTATGGAGACATCCTCGACTGCCCTCCAGAATGCGAGCCCGACGAGTGGCAAATTTGCGTCAATTATGATCCTTCTGAGTTGAGGAATGGTGTTGATGGAAATGGGGCATGCGTCTCTTAAGCTTTCTGAAGCTGTTTCGGTTGGAAATTGTCTTTGCCTTACTACATGGAACTGCTCCAACATATTGATAAGGGGAGTGATGTGAGTATCTGACCGATGAAACGAAAGATAGGTCAAGTAGAGAAGCCAAGCAAGGAATTGAGCTATATGCCGATCTGTAAGGAAATTTTCAAGCATTTAAGACCATCTCAGTACTCTAGTACCTGACGTAGATATCTCAGGTGATAGGGTATGATCTCACCGATTACAGAAAGCTGTACTTTACTAGTATACGGGCCAATGCACATGCATGGCGGAGACTCGGCTTAAATAAGGCTCCGCCGTAATCACCTTTACTGATGTATTTAGAAAATGTAACAAAAGAGTAGTATTACTATAGCTAGTTCACTAACGAATACACAACGAAATTGACCAAGTCAGAGCTAGGATACAGTTCTCATCGAAGATTTCGGGTAAGTGCACGCTGAACAGAGAAAAGAAGACTAGTTACTATTATTACAGTTCACCCAGTAATACACAACCAAGTTAAGTATTAGACCCCGGGTAAGTATACAAAGAAGAAGTCGGGTAAGTAGTATACGACGAACAGGAAGGAATCGGTTGCCGTCGAGGAACCATTTGAATTTTGAAACTCCGACAGAGGGCTGGGCAAATTGTTTCAATGGAAAGGTGAGGTTGAAAACGGGTTTTACATAATTATTTTATGACCACTAAATATATGTTTCTACAAAGGTCAACAAAAACAAGTTGGAACACGACAGTATACGGTCAGTTGAAGGGGAAGTAGAGAACGAGGAAAGACGTGAAGGGCAATTTCGAACTCCATTCCAGATTAAGAAACAAGTTACCAGTTGACTGATGGGAGTGGCCATTTTGCGTGTGCGCGCACGCATTAAATTACACTGAGCTTATTTAAGCCGAGTAATATCATCAAACTCTTCCCCACTTGCAGTGGTACATTGTCTTACATGTTTAATAGACCCGACCCCTGGCTTAACCCCACCCGTAACCCGACGGGTTTTCCGCACAGGTTGGGTCTTAGATCATCGAAAACGGATAAGAAATGACTGAGATATGGTTAAAATAATAATTTGACCATATCTCAGCTGTCGCGAAGAGCGAACACTAAACCAAACCAAAGTCCAGAAGAGCGGAGCGGATGAGAGCGGAGAGCGAGATAAGAGCGATGAGCAACTAAGGCAGATGAGTGCTGAAGCGGTGTATTGACGAAGAGGTCAAGCTGAGGAAATACAGAGGGATCTACCTAGCTTATAAACCTATTCTACTGTCTACATAGCCGCGATGAGTCAAGATGACGAACAGATGGTGAAATACAAAAGGACAATAAGGAGAGTCACAAGGCTGCGCGAAGAATAAAGAAGACAATAACAGAGTAACGAGGCAGTGCAAGAATGGAGAGAACAATAAGACGTAGGGCGAAGGGCATAACGAGGCAGTGTTCCATGGGAGAAAGTGTCCGTGTCGAGAATAAGAGCGAAAATGAGAATAAAGAAAAGGTGATAAGGGCGATGAAAACGATAAGATAAGATAAGGGAGAATAGGGGCTCGTACTTGCTGTTCACGACATCAGCCATTTCCCATCCGTTTCTGATGATCTGTGGCTCGTTTTAAAGATCTCGGGTCTGAAAATGGCGACCCGTACCCGACCCATCGCAGGGTTGACCCGAAAACCTGCAGGGGTCAGCCGACCCTTGCTTTTCACTAATGATCCTCCTCGTTCCGGAATCCCCAGCCTCATGTACCCGGCCGCAATCTCCTCCACAACGGCCGGCATTGTGCGGGATAAAATTTTAGTGTCTCATAACACCAATTATTAGCTTCAAAACGAGCCCAAAATCCAAGAAAACACACCAAAGATGAAGGAGATATCAGTAGTTGTCTTCTTTCCCCCTCAACTCCAGGTACCGGTGGAGCATTAGCTTGGCATTGGCTTGGCTGATGCAATAAGCGGAACTGGGACTCAATCAGTTCCGCTTATTGCAACATTGCGGTGTATCAAACTCCGACGCAACCGCGGCAACATGTTTTTGCAGCTACAGGTTTTTATAAAACCCCTTTTTTATTTTTTTTTCTGTTAATGTTACTTAGAGTATTCTATATGACAGGAGAGAGGGAGTTTGACATGAATATACCGAAAAATATCCAGGAAGTAAAGTGAAAGTGAAAGCGGAGACTGAATAAATCTGCTGCAATGTACCATATAAGGTAATAAGTTCCCAGTTGACTGATGAAAGGGAACAAAATGCTCGCGCGCGCTCACGTTAAATTACACTCAGCTTATTTAAGCCGAGTAAGTCCGAGTTGTTCACGGAAATGCTCAAACTTGACATGACCGAGAGGTTTGGTAAACATGTCAGCAGGATTGTCATTAGTGTCAACACGAAGAATCTCAACGTCTCCCATCTTCAACACGTTCGCGGATGTAGTGATAGCGAACATCAATGTGTTTGATTTGACGTTCCTGAATAGGGTTTGAGCCAATGAAGATAGCTCCATTGTTATCCGTGCAGATCGGCACTTTGTCGATGGGCATGCCTAATTCATTGAACATATGTTTTAGCCACATGACCTGACGGCTACAATCAGAAAGCGCCATATATTCGGCTTCTGTAGACAAAGTAGCGATGGTTTTCTGGGCATGGGAAGTCCAACAGATAACAGCATTAGCCAACTTGACGATGAATCCAGTCACGGACCTGCATTTGATGGGATCAGCGGCAAAGTCCGAATCCGAGTAGGCGATGAGTCCTTGTGAGGAAGAACCATCTAAGACCAGTGCGTAGTCCATAGTCCCTCGGAGGTATTGGCAGATGTAGAGCGCCTTGTCGAGGTGCTCTTTGGACGGATTTGCTGCAAACTGCGACAGCTTGGTGACAGCATGCGCAATGTCGGGACAAGTGCCTAACATAAAGGTATAGCAGCGATCCAATCACAGACTGGAAACATTGTCGAAGTTGGTGATCCACGGGACCGGTATTCGGAAGAGGTTTGTATCCCTCAACCATGGGAGTTCGAGCCACTCGGCAGTCCATCATTCTGAAGCGTTCTAAGACCGTTTTGAGGTAATCTTTCTGATCAAGGCGTATGGTTTTTCCTTGACGTTTGATCCGCATTCGGAGGAAATTCAGTTGGTTCGCGAAGATCACGGCATTCCCATTTTTGCTTGAACTCGTCTTTCTTTTGATTGACAAGTCGCTTGGAGGGTCCCATGAACAGGATGTCATCGACGTATGCGATCATGATGACGAAGTTGCCATCTTTCTCCTGGAAAATAAAGATTCCGGTATCGGTCGAAAGTCGTCTAAAGCCAAGAAGTTTGGCAGACTCTACAAGTTCCTTGTACCAGGAGTTGGAAGCTTGTTTGAGACCGTAGATAGCTCGGAGCAGCCGGAACACTTTATGCTCCTGACCAGGTACCTTGAAGCCTTCGGGTTGTTCCATATAGATCTCCTCTTCAAGTTTGCCATATAGAAAGGCATTCTTGGCATCGACGAGCGGTGACGTACCAGCCTTCGAGTGCAGCGATGGCAAGCATCGTGCAAACTGATTCATAACGAACCACAGGAGAGAAGATTTCGTTGAAGTCAACACCTTCAACTTGGGAGAAACCCTTGGCGACAAGTCTGGCTCTAAGTCGACCGTCTGGTTTGACGTCGAACACCCATCGGCATTTGATCGCTTTACGACCAGCAGGCAGAGTGACGAGGATATAGACGCCGCGCTTCTGGAGTGCCTCAATCTCCAGCTTGCAAGCAGCTAACCATTTCTCACGCTGTTTAGGCGGAAGTTTTTGGATGTCACGGAATGTGTATTCACATGGCGACTTCTGAAGGGGTTTATCGGGCGAAACTGCCTTAGAGAAGCAAGTATGTGATAAACTCTACTCCCCCTTCCCTGACCAATCGGGCCAATCGTTTCTCTAGGTCTCCACGCTCGTCAGCAGTGCCACTATCGCGATTTGGACTATCGGCAGGATTTGGTCTGGGAACCTCATCCTTGCGTTCTAGACTTGTGGTAACCGGCAGGCCTTCGCTCGGTATCTCCAACAGTCTTTCTCCAATCACGCTGCGATTGAGCATCAATTTGAATGAAGGGCGTTTTATCCCCATAGATGGAGCCTGGATGAGTAACGGTTCTCTGCTCACGGCCAGATCTTCGAGGTTGGTCCGGTTGTGGTTCCGGAGCCAGTGGTTCCTCTGGTTGATCTCCCAGGGCAGGTGGCGGTGGATCTTGAGGTTGATTGTCGTCACGATCTCCCCCTCGATCCCTTTGGGGAAGGTCATCATTTTGGGAGTTGGGACGATGGACAAAGTCATCATCATCACCTCCTTCAGGAGAAATGTTGTCATCTCCGCGATCCGATGGTGGAGGTGGTTTGTCGCCGGCACGAACGCCACCTCGTTGAGGTTGTGCACCAGGACACTTCGGGAAGTAAGTCTCATCAAAGACAGCCGTAGCGCCTCGGAAGAGACTGTTGTTGTGTAAGCGCATGAAGAGATAACCCTTCATTCCCTCAGGATATCCTAAGAACACCATAAGTTCAGATTTGGGTGATAGTTTGTTCTTTCGGACTTCTTCGGGAAGGTAGATGTAAGCGCCACAACCAAAGACACGTAAGTGCGAGATGTCAGGGACCTTCTTGTGTTAATAGCTCATACGGAGTTTTCCACTTAAGACGTCTGACAGGCGTGCGATTGTAGAGATGCACGGCATGTGACACTGAGAATTCCCACCAGGACTCAGGAAGACAGGCGTCAAAGCGAAGTGCCTGGGCCTTATCCATAATTGTCCTGATAAAACGCTCAGCCCTGCCGTTTTGTTGGGGTTGACGCGGAATGCTCTGTAGGATTTTGATGCCAAGTTCCTTCAGTGCGTTATCGAATTCTTCGGACTTAAATTCTCCCCCTCCATCCGACATCCACTCTTTGATGGAGGCGTTAAATTGGGTCTTGACCATAGCAACAAAGTCGCGTAAGGCCTTGATGGCATCATCCTTCTTTTGGAGAAGGACGATCCAACCGTGGGAGGTATAGTCATCGAAGAAAGCGATGAAGTACTTGTACCGGTGATAGGATTCTACCGGGAAGCTCTTAAGATCAGAGTGAATCTTCTCAAAAGGCTTCTTCGCACGAGAAGTTGATGGTGGGAACGATTTTGATGGCATCTTTCCCTCATGACATCCCTTGCAGGGAGACATCTTTTCGGGTACAGAGACATTCTGTGGGAAACCCTTGGTATGTCCCTTTGCTTTCTCAAGCACTTCCTTTGAGGGGTGCCCAAAGCGTCGATGCATGGTTTGGTAGTCGACGGAATGAAACCATCAAGAGCTGTTTTGCCGCTAGACTCTTTACGGAAGTGATCCGAGTCTTAACCCAGAAAATGGTATGACCAGGTATAGCCGGACAGCAAACTATAGCTTGAGATTGATCGGGTTTATAGATGCCGATCGATTTGTTATCACCGTGAACGTAATGTCCCACGTTGTTGAAGAAACTCTCCCATAGAGAGTAGTCGTCCATGTAGGTTGGGGACATGATAGACAGGATATAGACGAGTCCTGACTTCTTGATATTTCCCATGAGAATCTTTCACCATGTGTTTGATGAAGACGGATCCAACTCCAGCCCAACGAAGAGTAGCCTTTTTATCAGCTGTGCGAATTTCGGGCTAATTTCTTAATGGAGTATAGGATGCGAAATCGGTCTCATCACTAGTGACGTGCATAGAACAACCGGAGTCCATCATCCAGACGTCATACCCATGAAATGGACTGTGGCATTCAGAACAACTCGCGAAGAATGAGGAAATAGACATATATTGCCGAGTGAGGTAATTCATAAGCAATACATAAGTCCATATACAGATCATCACGTAATACAGCAGCATCGATTAGAATAGAGTGCTGTGTGAGATCAGCAAGTTGTTCGTTCAGCCGACGGGATGACACACACCTTTGTTTGTCGATGTGTCCGGTGTCAAGTTCCATGGCTGTGTCCTCAATCTCCGTATCTCGCTTTGAAGTCGGGTTCGTCATCGGTATCCATGCCAAGTGAGACTGTGTCATCGTTGTCGGAGTCTGTAAAGAGAGGAGACTCGGAACGAGCACATTTGGCAGGAGGAGGTGATTCGAGACGATCTTTGAGAGACTTCTTAACGGGAAGATCCAGGGGTGGTATCCAGTTGAAAAATCCCAAAAAACACGGTAATTACCGCGTTTTAAAGTTGCCAGTTGCCATGGTAAGTAAACTGTCCGGTAATACTGAGTAAATTCGATTTTCCGGTAATTACCGAGCGAAAAGATTTCGCTCGGTATTACCTGACGATTTTTTTGCTCAGCACTGCGGCGAAATCGTCGCCCTCTAAACCAAACACTAACATACACTAACCCAAACCTAACACTAACAAACACTAACCCAAACCTAACCTAACCTAACCTAACCTAACCTAACCTAACCTAACCTAACCTAACCTAACCTAATACTCCCAACCCTAACGTAAAATAAATAAATATACCCTGATCCCTAACCCTAACCGAACCCCAACCTAACCTAACCCCAACCTAAACCTAACCTAAACTAACCCTAAACCTAACTGGCACCCCGGGTGCATGCTATTCTTATTAAATGTCCCCCCAAGAGGCCATAATAAAATATGAGCGAAAATGTAGCATTAAAAACGAGGTTTTTTGATACCAGATCAATGAGATCAATAATTTCGCGGTCCGATCGATGAGAAATCCATTGCCCTGGCATTATCGAAGCATAAAAGAATGCCTCGGTAATACCGAGCGAAAAAATTGTCCGGTAATACCGAGTGAAAAGATTTCGTCCGGTAATTACCGGAAAATCGAATTTACTCGGTATTACCGGACGGTTTACTTACCACGGCAACTGGCAACTTTAAAACGCGGTAATTACCGCATTTTTGGGATTTTTCAGGCAGATACTAGTGGATCCAGGAGCGGACGAAGATTGCGAGCGGTCTTTGGAACGTCTAGACCATCACAAATCTTCTGGGCCCTAGCCAAGTCGGTGTAAATCGGGTGAGTCCGGGGGTCAGTAGTCTTCTCAGCAGTAGCAGGGGTATAAACTTGAGCTGGAAGATTGATGGGAACTTTGTTGACCTTGATGCCGGACGAGCTAAACGAGGCGACGGAGGCTGTGGTGGGCTTCGGAATGTGAGGATGAAGGGAGATAGTGTGAGAGCCCAGGAATGTAGCAGAGGCAATGTGAGATGTGTCATCGTCGGAATCAGAATCAGCATTGGCCATGTGGGTATGATGGTGATGGTGGCCTTGTTGCTTCTTCTTTTTCCCAGACGACTTGCCGCGTTTGGCCTTCTTGTCGTTAGACTGCCCTTGCTGCCCTTGGGTAGGCGAGTTAGAAGACGACTGCTGCTGCTTCTGCTGCTTGAAGTTGGGGTTACCCTTCTTCCGCTTGATTGCTGACATCTTGTTGGCGTGAACGGAACCCTGAGTTCGACATTCATACTCCGCCATGATGGCTTCGCGCACATCAGCCAATTTGAGTTCCTTGACCTTTTTGTTCTGCATCAACAGAACCGCAATGCTATCCCATTTCTGGGGAATTGCGTTGATCAGGATCATGGCTTGGAAGAAGTCAGGCATTCTGACACCATTGGCGTGAAGTCGATCAAAGACTGATCGGAGATCATCCATTTGTGGTACCGGATTTTCATTTTCCGAAAGCTTGAAAGCGATAGCCTTCCGGAAATCGGCAAAGACCACGGATGCCCCTGGAGTACCGTAACTTTCCTCCAACTTTGTCCAAATGGTTTGAGCCAGTTGGTTTGACTGGATGGTCAAGCGAATAGCAGGTGTCATGCGCAAGGTGAGGGCACCTTTAGCAGTCATATTCTTCTCGAGCCACGCCCTTTGCTCCTTCCGGCAAGCTTCTTTGTCTTCCTCCTTGGCATCGGGGGGAAGATCAGAAGGCTCCGGATTGGTCCCATCAACAACATCCCACACGCCAGCAAATTGGAGATAAGTGAGGGCGAGCGGCTTCCATTCTCAATAGTTGGTGCCATCGAGAACCGGAACAAGTTGAGTGAGGGCGGAGGACATGGTTGTTGAGATCTGTCAAAAAGACCGATCATCAGCATGGCGTTCTCGTGAGAGAATAGAAGGACAAGTGTGCAGCCAAAAAATAGTGCTCCTTAGTCCCCTGATCGCAGCCAAAAATAGCGCAGATCATGACGACCACAAGTAGTAAGCCTTAGAGCATCTAGATGCAGCCAAAAAAAGCGCAAACTAGATTCTGGATGCAGCCAGAGACTAGCGCAAACCAGATTTTAGCAATGCAGCCAAACAAGCACAAAGCTAAAGCCTAGCGGGGCTCATAACCTGTCGAGCAAACACTATCTAGCTAAGGTGGTCTACTCTAAGACTTACCAGGTAGAGTGTTATGTGAGGCTAACTAGTGGCTAACTACAAGAGTTGTGACGAACTCTGTCATCTATTCCAAGGCCAGGGAGGGCCGGTATTTATAGTTTACAGGAAGTGTGACAGATGTGACGTATACTACATAAATATGGGAAGGTGTGACGGGTGAGTAAGCGAAGTGAGTCATCATGAGTAGGAATGAGCGGTAATGACGCAATATGGTGCAAGTATTAGCACCTACTCATGTGACGTTCCAGAATGTTCTACACTAGAATGTTCTAGAGTGTTCTGGACTGAGTCTTACTAATCTAATCTAATCTACGATATAATCTACAGATAAGATAAGATAAGTTCAACACTCCCCCTCGCTAAGTGCAGCTATGAATAGCGCGCTGAGCGTACTCAAGAACTTAAGCCCTTCCAAACTAAGGCGTGTCTCCAGGTCGCGTGTGTGCATATCTACCAAGTATTCAGCAGTCAGTCGGCCAAAGATGGTGAACCGCTCCTCCCGTAGGGGACGTGCTCGGTAATGCCACATTTGCGTTGTTGTAGCCTCCTGTTCAGGGTTTCCACCAACACCACCGTCCAAATCCCTCATAGAGCCCACAATACCCCAGCCCAACGTTGCATGAGGAAAGAAAAGGGGATACGCAAGGGGTTCCCATAGGCGGCTGATGTTGGCGATTCGATAACTTGAGTTGTTCAGTCGTGACACGACCAAACGCCGACCGGAAATTTCAGAGACTGTTGTGTTGTGAAAGGAAATTAAAGCCGCAATTTCATTTGAGGGACCCTTCTCGTTGACAACTAGTGAGGCGGTTGGAATGCTGGAAGAAGTGTCTGCAACCTGTCGTATTGCCCAAACAAAGGGATTGATACGTGTAAGGGCAACCCGGACAGCGTCGATCCACTCCATCGGGATATCTTGCGCAAGGTCTTGATGTGGCATTGCATTTACCATGAAGCCGTCATGTAGGAGCCAGCGGACAGCTGAATTCTGGTGGGAAGGGCGGATACGATGATAGATCTTCCCTTGGACAGCAACCATCCCGCCATGTGTTGAAGGAAAGGTGTGTGTGGTCTCCATTGCTGCAAAGGAGAAGATAAGGTTTAGAACGCGAGAGGATTTTGAAATTGAAGGGTCGTTCAGCAAGATGTTGAATTCTGGTGGAAGGGGAGGAAGAGGGGGGACATCGTTCCGGCATCTACCTTGGGGGCCACAACAGAAACCTGCCGTCTCCCCAGATAGCAGAATAACTCCGCAATGTCGACACTGGTTGCGTCTACCACCACGGGCAGGGCCACCCCACTGAAGCACAGGTGCAGCAACACCTCGGATAATCCAGCAGTGACCAGTTTGGCTCGAGGACATCGATAGTAAGAAGGAATACTGCAATGTTGAACAGCCAACGAATTCAAATTTCAAATTATCTGTACACAAAGAAACAAAAGAGAGGAGCGACGCGCGAAACAATAGGTGAACACAAAAAGTAAGATGGCCACACAGCCACCGTTTTGAGTTCAAAGGTCAAACACTTTCGAGGGAAGGCATGGAGCTGTGATCTGTGTCACTGTCCTGTTAGAGAGATGGACGTGAGGCAAAACCTGTCGTAAGAAAGAAGACACCCACTATGGACTCAATACCGGGTCAAAACTACCCAGATACCGTATAATGGCACGTAGTATCCTTAGACAGGATAGTTTCGAGCAGTCCAAAACAGCACGATTTTTTCGACCTTTCCTGGAATTCACAGGCCGTGTGAATACTATCCGGTTCTACCTGAACCGGATACTTTCTATTTCCCTTAGGATCAGCGTAAGTGTGGCCGGTAGAAAACTATCCGGTGGAGTTATCTGTGGAACTTACGTTGAAATTGGTGGTAGTCATGCATACAGGTTATAAAAAATGCAAAGGAGCGTTGAATAGTAAGCTAAAAGGCCATGAAGGTATGCTCTAAAGTACAAAACAAGTGGGATATACAGATATCTTAAGCGGACATTGATGTAAGTTAATGGGCAGAAATCGAGACAGTGGCAAATCGAGATTCAAGAGAAGCGACATACGAGGACACGGAATGGGAAGAAAGGTTTAAAGAAGTGAGAGCTCTGGGGAGACGCCTAGATGCTGCTTTCAAGGGGGTGTGCCTCTGGACCTTCAACGAGGAGGCGGCGATATCGTTCTTGTTGCGCTTGTAAAGATCTGCGATAGGCTTCGAACTGTTGCAGGGCCATTTCCCTTGACACGTCAACAGTTTGGAGCTCGGTATCCAGGTGGTACATCTTCAATCGGATCTCCCAGGTCCAAGGCGCAGCCGTTGTGGTGTGTGGTGTGTAGGATGGTCCTTCGACGTCCAAGATAGACTGCACCGGAGATACTGAATGGTCGCTAAACGAGCGCTCGGATTGAGTCGCAGTGCAGCGGGATTGGTTAGAAGGAGAGGGAGAGTACTCGCTGGGGTGACCGTCCGAATAAGTGGAGCTTGAGAATAGAGCACGTCGAGAAGCTCCGCGAGGACGTGACCGCAAGTGGCTCAAAGGGGAGCTTTGCATGGCCATGTACACCTCTCGTTCTGTCGAGGGAGGGATAATCTCGCCAGTGGTCGACGGCGAGCAAGAGCGAGACTCTGTGGCAGTCGGGGTTGACGTGTGTTGCGCGCTACATATGTCGAAGTACGGCGGCTCGTGTCGGTCACTGCTGCTGTGGTAACTCGCATTGGCGTCGCTGTCGGTGACCTCGCCGCGGTCGCTTTCATCTGTCTCGCTGTTCCCCCCAATGCTGCTGGTGTCGTGATTGCTGTCTGACTCCCCTCCAATGCCACTGGGGGTACTGTCGCTGAAGCTGCCACATTCGCTGTTGGCCGCATCGTTGTAGTTGTCATCGGCGCTGGCGTCCTCGCTATCAGTGCTTGAATGCTAGGTAGATGTTAGCGAACAGAATGCTCTTGTGACAGACTGAGAAGGCGCACCGATTCCGAGAGCGCTTTGGCCTCTTCAGCAAGCATTCGGGTATTAAGATCCCATGCCTTTCGCTCGATGTAGGACATGGTGATGCTCTGGCTGTGTGGCTCCCAGAAGCAATCGAAATCCCCGTTTACAACGTCAAGAGAAGTCGAAATCGGGAGTGGTGGATGGTTGGAACTTGGAAGGTGGACTGTGATACGCGCTTGCTCGGCGGGATCCCTCAACATATCCCTGTGGTTCCCACGAGAAATTCACACCCAGAATGTACAAGGTCAAGATAGCATTGCCTTCAAGATACAGTACAGTAGAGAAATAGATTAATACTACTCGTCGTCAACAAGCTCAGGAGGGACCATTCCCCCACTACGATCATAGAGTGCCCAATGTCCCCCTTCACCCCACTGCAAACGCGCGACCAGGGCCTGAATTGTGGTCAGGTCGACGATTTCCGTGCCTGCTTTCATTTTGGGATACACATAGATATGCAGGCCTTTAAGCTTTCTCTGGCGAGCTAGTACTTCGAAGTCCTCTGAGTCGAATTGACAGGGGTTCATCTTGACGAACACGACGACTTCCGGTTTCTTGATTCGCAGTTCTTTGGCCACAGGCATCTCAATGTAGAAGACTTGAAGGACCTCTCCAAAGAATGTTTCTCTGACGAGGTCCTCCTCAGCTTTGTCGTAAGGGAGAGCGGCGTTGCGATCGATAGCGAGGTCGTACTAGGAGGCATCATGAGGACCAACAAAATGGCAAGGCTAGTGAGATGCTTACTCTGGCAAACAACACCTCTCGAGAGTCCAGCGCCGTAGTCTTGCATATTTCTGCCGCCCGGATAGTATCCCCGCCATTCAGGCATTTGATTCGACCGAAAATCTGGACATTTTCTCGCTTGAAATACTTGCGAACAGTCTTCAATGAGATGGCCTGTCGTCCTGGACGCGTATAGCGAGTGGCTAGGGCTGCAGCAAGCTTGCACTCGGTTCCGTTATCAATATCTGGGTGTTGGATTCGAGGGGAAGATAGCATAAAGTCGTCCGAGTCTACGTGAAATCAGAAAGGAACATTTCGGGGAGCAAATCAGGACAGACTCACAACATTTTTCCGGGATTACAAAGTCTCTAATGTTCTCGTGGTTCCGTTTGAAGGTGAGGACTTTCTTGAGGTTGAAGTTGTGCATTATCTGTGAAACCTGCGCAGCAAGAACGACATAGTTGTCAAGCGCAGCCCAGGGATAGCGATGGCTGTGGAGGAACGGCCGGAGTCGCCCACAAAATCTTTCCATCGCGAATGCCCAGTAAGCCCAAACCGGCCCATTGGCTTCAATGTTGTCGGCGATGTGGAGTAAGGCGTGGATGGTGGAGGGGCATGCAGGTAGACGTGACCTTTCATACTTAAAATACAGACTATCTGTCGTGTCAATATGATATTGTGGCGACACATTCGGAAGACTTACCGTTCGTATTCCAGCACCCAATCAATGAACCCAGAACGGATGTTCTCGATATCCTTGCGTGAGTATTCAAATTGCAGGCACAAGTTGATGAGGCGGACAAGGTGTCGGAAGTGGCGGTAGTAGTCGTGGTTCTTGAATTGTCGCTGAAGGAGCACAGGTGCAAGACATAGGGTCCAGAAGGACCAGGTATCGGCGGTTGTAGCACCAACGTCCTTAAGGATATTCTTCGGCCGACTGCTGTAAGCGCTCGGGATGGTTGAGCCCGCATCTTCTCCGGCTTTTGCGATGGCCTGCCAAACAGTCTTGTCGATAACGTAGTCCTGGTCCAAATGATCCAGGTTCTTGAAGTCGCCTGTCCAAAAAAGAACAAGATTTTTGATGAGGTTCTCCCAAATGAGATGCATGAAGTCAAATGGGAAGGAGTCGGGGAAGAAAAACGATGGGATTTCGGAAAGCACACTGACACCCTTGATACCTGACGCCTTCGCCCGCTTCTCGCGCTCTGCCTTGCTGACGGTGGGGTCTTCGGCAGCCCTTGCATCTGCCATCCACTCCTCGTGGGTCCGAAGTGGCAGGTCGGCGGGGTCGTAAGGCTCTTCACCGTCAAAGCGCGCCAGAGGGAAGTAGTGGGAGGTGCCTTTGGCAGTGGGATCACGTATCCCTTTGATCTTACAATCACGGCAACCGCAGATGCCGTTATGTCCTTTTGCGCACAAAAACATTGAGACAGCTGGGATGTCGCCAAATCCGTCTATTGGGAACGCTCGCATCTGGAAGTTGGAATTCGATCGTCGAGAGAATGTGGGAACGCCGATGGCAAGCTTCTTCATCTCGTTGACAAAAGGGATGAGAAATGAATTGCTGTCTTTGGGTTTGGTGGGACCTGGGATGATGCCGATACAGAGCGCCCACTCGAGGTGGAAGCGGATGTCTGGAGGGAGGTTGTAGTTGAAGAGGAGGATAGGCCAGCACGACTTTTTCCTTCTTCGGAATGGACAGAAGCCGTCGGTCGAGAACCCCAGGGCAATGTCGCTCTTCTGCTCGAAGAAGCGGTGAGCGTAACGGATGCCGTCGATCTCGACGCGCTTCTTTACAAGTCGGCGGTAATTCCGTCCATCGAAGATATCCTTCGTCGTCTCCTTCACAGTATATGGGTCGTCGTTGGGATTGGTTGGAAACTCCTTGGCGCGGTAGTCCATCAGTTCTTCGGTGTCGGTGTTGCTGAACATTGCTCTAAGGCGGGGGGTGACAGGGACATATGTCCAGACTTTGTATGGCTTGCTGTTTGCGTCGTAACGAGGGTGGTCGCATATGGGGCAGTTCGTCAAATCTGTGTACTTGCCGACAAAGGCTACGCAAACCTTGAAACAACAGTGGTAGGTCTCCGGTTTGAAGTCAGCGAGTAGTCGGAGCTTGCTTTTGCTTGCTTTGATGCTCGTGAGGCCGGGCTGGTCGGGGCATGCAAATGGCAGTTCATTGAAGGCCTTGTCGGTAAGATTATTTCGAAGCTTGTAGACAATGGCGTGGAGAATAGAGGCGGTGTCGCCTTCAATATAAATTTGACCTGGTTATTGGCTATGTAAGCCAAGTGTACCACTATCAATCGCTTCCGCCCACATACGCTGGAACTCTTCATCATCGTCGTACGTGTTGTACATATCTTCTTCGTCGTCCCCCAAGCCATCAAAGACACTCTCCTCTTCCCCCCATTGCTCCTCCAGACTATCTGCTAATGACTCAACTTCCTTATCAAGGTCCTCGTCCTCCGGCACCTCCTCTATCTCAACTCTCCACCTTCGGGGCTGCTGTGGGCTAGGCTGCTCATGAACCTCCTCCATCACGACTTCTATTCCTTCACCTGGGTTGTCAAGAATGGGTGGTTGTTGCGGAGGGCTGGAGTCCCTCACGCTCGCGGTAGGGTGTTGGCTTTCCACTGAAGCTGATTCAAGTGTATGTTGCTGTGGAGAGGGGAAGCGGGGGTCTGAAATCATCATTGGCGAACTGAACCATTGTGAGGGAGAGAGAACAGGCGGAGAGCGGGGTGTGTAACCGGTGGAGAGTCTCGGGGATCCTGGCACACTCCTTGTTGCCCTCTGGAGGAACTTCTTCCCCTTTTCCTTCAGGTTCTCAGCGATTTGTGATGCCTTGGTAAGAAAAGGGATGTTCTTTCCGCATAAATGTCGCCTGATATGTCGTCCAGAAAGCATCCTGCCGCAGTGGGGGCATTCACGGAAGTCGTCATCATCATCGAGCTCACCACCTTCAGACAGAGGGTCCCCAGATTTGCTCCCGGAAGAATGACCACCATTTGATGATCTGGATGGTGAATGAGATTTTGTGCGTTTAAAAATCGATGGCATCTGAGAAGTAAGTCGAACGGTGGTGTAGGGGAGAAGGTTAGAGCTTGGAAAAAAAAACCGCGTCCTGCAGCACGTGATCACGCAAGCCTTCGGCGCGTCGCTGCTCAGCCAGCACCAAGACCGCCAACAAGAAGTCGTCGAAGTCCACTGCCCTTGCCAAACCCGCCAACAAGGGCAGCAACTCCAAATCGACCAAGAAGGCTACCCAGGACAACACCACTACTGGCGATGACGAAGAGGACACCGCAGAGCCCAAAACCAACACCAAGTCCGCCAACAAGAAGACGTCAAAGCCCACTGCCCTTGCCAAACCCGCCAACAAGGGTAGCACCTCCAAAGCGACCAAGAAGGCTACTCAGGACGACGACAGTGACAGCAACAGCAATGACCAGAACGACTCCCCCAAACCGAAGAAGAAATCTGAACTTGCCAGACCTGCCACGAAGGCTAGCACCTCCAACCCCGCCGGTTCACCAAGCAAGAAAGCTCTGAAGAGTGGGAACAAGAATCAGGTGGACAAGAAGAAATCTACAAAGAAGTACCGTGCCCGCTGGTACAACTCAGGTATGTTTATTCCCCCTTAGACTGGCAACCGAGCTCATCGTCGTGGTAGTCAATCTCAAGCCGACCTCTCTTGCCAAACTGGTTGCTCGGACGGCGACTGTTAAATATATCCCCAAACCTCCTGGGGAGCCAGGAGAGCCAGGCGGGGGTGGCTACACGATTGAGACGAAGGTTCGCATGGACAAGGCGCGTTACGGAAAGCATTTCCGTCGGGAGTACCTTGATATCCAGGTAGGTGACTTCTTCACTTACGAACACGTCTGACTTTATTTCGCCTAGCAAACCGTTCGTGACTTCTGCAGCGCTGCCAAGCTTCCTCCGTACTCTCGCCTTAAAGACCAAGACCTCGCCGTTGTTGGGAAAATCATCGCAATGGTCAGTGCTGGTCTAACTTACACATATATGCTAACAGTCTTTACTTCAGGTCGCTGTCAAACATCCGTACATGAACTCGAAGCGCTTTCCCAATAATTGGGCTATAGCTGCCATGCTCAAGACCTTCCTTCGTGGACAGCGTGTGGGTGTTCGGAAGAAGGAGAAGGACCTGAGTGACACGGTTATCAGGGAGCAGGAAGAGGAAGAGGAATCGGGATCCGACGAGAGCGACGTTGAAAGCGACGTTGAGGGTTGCCCCACCAAGGAGGAGGTACTCAGAGCGTTCGCCACGGATGCGGACGCCGACTACGCATCCGACTCAGAGGTTCCCACAGACAAGAAGGTCAGGACTCAGATCATCCAGTGTCAATTCAATGCTTTTTTCTGACTTCCCTCCACATCCTCAGAAGAAAAAGGTTTCACAATCGAGCAGCAGGAAGGCGAAGGGAAAGGCGAACACCAACAACGACGGAAGCGACGAGGAGGAGGCTGCGCCAAAACGCAAGCCCAAGGCCAGCAAACCCCAGACGCCCGCGGACGACAACGACGAGGAAGAGGAGGCAGCGCCGAAGCGCAAACGGAAAGCCAAACAGCCAGCGGACGATGACGAGGAGGAGGAGGAGGCTGCGCCAAAGTGCAAGCCCAAGGCCCGCAAACCCCAGACGCCTGCGGACGACGACGGCGAGGAAGAGGAGGCAGCGCCGAAGCGCAAACGGAAAGTCAAACACCCAGCGGAGGCCGACGACAGCGACGACGACGACGAGCCTGAGCTGGAGCTTCCGAAGACCAGGCCCAAACCCAGACCCAGGGCTAGGCTGTCAGTCGACATCGCCGAGGATGGGGACCTTGAAGAAACCCCTGTACCAGCTGCAAAACGAAAATCAACTGCCATCGACGATCATTTCGACCTTGCTCGGAAGAAGGGAAAGACGACAGCAGGCCGGGCTCCAGCATCGCCTTCGAAGGCCATCCGAAGCAGCACCTCAGCCTCTGCAGGAACATCGTCCCGGCGCAATAAGAGCGACGACGAACCGGAACAAGTTATGCGCGCCGAGGACGACGATGACGAATTCAACGACTTTCCATTTGATGAGGACGACATCGACCTGAACGCCAGGGGTAAGGGGAAGCAGAAGAACGCGGAGGACGACGACGATAGCGAATTTTCTGATTGAGTATGCCTGAATGAACACATTCCCCTCTGTATTCCCTTAAGTTCCACCTTCTTCCTGGACTGTAGCATCTCGCCGCCACCTGCGCCACCTGTTTTCATACCCCGCATCCCTCCACCACTGTATTCTAGCAATGTAGCATATTCGCATTACGGAAATTCAACGAAATTGTATTTTTTGTCGCCGTGCACAAAGTATCCTATTTGAGACAAGCTATCCAGGGACCGGAGGGTTTCAGCCTGCCATTGTAAAGTGACACTGGGATACAAAAGTACTCGTCTACAGGGTACATATCATCCACCCACCTGTCCACAACCGACCGGATAGTTGCGGACATTCACCGCCATAAAGCTAGCCTTTTACCGGATACCTCAAACTATCGGCCCGACGGATGAATGAAGTCCCCAGGAACGAAAACTATCCGCCCAAAGGATAATCCCCTACCGGCCAAGGTATACTTTACCGGATAGATTCCTTCCTGTATTGGGCCCACAGTGACCACATACAGATGATGGGGAAGTGAGTGAAGAACTGGCAACATAACGGCGAATGTATGCGACATGTTCTTCGTACGAACAGTCTTTGGTGATGGAGTTGCCTTGGGATTTGTAAGTCGCATCCGAGTGTTTCATTGCAGGGAAGCAGTCTTTGAAAAGACGCCTTAGGAAAGCGACTTTCAAGAGCGATGAGTGCTAAGATTAAAGGGAAGTGTATCCCACTTACGCAGATTCAAAATCATCAGGGACATAGATCGGGGAAAGTTGAAGAGAAATTAATGAAATTCATACGATATAGATACATGCCAATATTTATGAAAGGACAATGATCAACGTCTCTTAAGTACAAAGGAAGACAATCGAGGGCCAAAGCACAAACAATAAAGTAGATTATTAGCAAGGGTCCAAAAAAGCGGCCATTATAATGGTCAAAGCATAACTGATTAAGCTTCCTTTTCCTTCCCCTTGCTAGAAGAAGGAACAGGACTATCAGGGACATAGAAGTCGTCCATGGGCGCATCGGCTTCAGGGAGAGGGGCAGGGTCGACAGGTTCGTCGTTCTCGGGAGTGGTGGCAGTCTTGCGCGTGGACTTGCGGGCAGGTTTAGACTTGGTAGTCTTGGCCTTGGGAGAAGATTTTGGAGCCGAGCGACGCTTTGCCTTTGACGTAGGGGAAGGCACATCTGATGCCGAGGATCCAGAAGGGGAAGGAGGCACAGGATCACCGTTTGAGTTGGAAGATGAAGCAGCGGGGCTGGACAGGGTGGAGGTGGAGGGGAGAGGCTGAATGGGGTTGAGGATAGCATCGTACTTGCGACGCTTTGGAGGGCTGCCATCTCCAGGGAAGCTGTCGTTGGTGTTGCCGTTGATAACGGGGTCTTGGGCATTGAGCGCAAGGTGAACGACGCGGATGCGCAAAAGCCCCCCGTGCTGGAAAGAATCAACGGTGCCGATGACACCAACGCAGGAGGAAGGGTAGGGGGAAGGGACACAGGACCACCTCTGATTGTTCTCGAAGAGGCATTGAATTATTGTGTGCTGCGTCGCATCGCGAGCCCAATCAGCAACGGCGAGCGAAAAAATACGACAGCCACTGGCAATGTGTTCGGTGTTGCCATGGACGTTGCCGAGAAGGAAAACGGACGGTGAAGCGACGGTTGGGAGATGGTTGTCGTAAGAAGGGTCGATACAGCGAAGATATTTGAAGGGCAGAGTCGGGGGCAACTACATGTTCACGGGCTGGTTTGGCAAGGAGCACACGGGAACAGGTGAGAGGGGGCAATTTTGAGAGAGGTGAGCGACAACGGAAGAGCGATAAACAAAAGAACTGACAATCAATAAGGAAAGAACAAATAGATACAAACAAACATAGGCAGTTTCGTTAAGACTAACTAAGGATATATGATCCCAGAAATAGATGAGAGCTAAGGAATAGATGTAAGATAAGATATAGATGTAAGATAAGAAATAGATGTAAGATAAGATATAGATGAGGAATAAGAAATAGATGAGGAATAAGAACTAAGGATAGATGAGAGATAGCATATAGAAGAAGAATAAGATATAGATGAGGAATAGCATCTATTAAATAGGTCAGAGGTAACATTTGGGTGAGTAGTAAGGAATACATGAGAAATAACGGATACGTGAGAGATAAGAAATAGATGAAAGATAAGATCTACGGTTTGCGTGATCCATAAGCGGTTTGCATGATGCATAAGCCAATTTGGATGATAAATAAGGCCATTTGCGTGATTTTGTCTCATGGGGCCGCTCATAATCATCCCTTTTGTAAAACTCAAGGGATGGTTGCAACACCTGTTCTACAAAGTTACTTACTTATAAATACAGGTAAAAATATCAAAAACACCGGATTTTCCCATAAGATAAACTCTTGATTTCACCAAGTGAATGTGATGTATATGGTGTCTCACATATACAGAAAGTGTACTATAAATAGTAGAAGACATATCCAACACATCTCTCTCACTTTGGAAAGCGATAATGTGTAGAAATAAAGAAATGTCTAAAAATGCAATTTTTCATATGTATTTCACATTTTTCAGTATGTCCCACTTTCCATAAAATTACCAAAGTGGTATCATTAAAGGGGCGACATTGAATGCTTTTTGGAACAGTTTGAATCTCAGTAATCGGCCCAGTGGAAGCAGAGATATTGTCTGAAAACTCCGAAAATGAGTAGTGATGGAGTGTCAGGAACCGAATTTTGGAAGGTCTGGGTCCTGGCTTTCAGACCCGGGGTTTACCCGTGATGAGCACTAATTGTCTTTTGCTGATGAGAACAATAAGGAGTAGGGCAAAGGGCATAATGAGGCAGTGTACCATGGAAGAAAGTGTGAGTCATGTTGAGAATAAGGGCAAAAACAAGAATGAAAAGGGAGACGATAAATCATAAGGGAGATGGAAACAATAAGATAAGAAAATGGAAAAATAGGAGCTCGTACCTGCTGTTCACGTGACACGACATGTATGAGAATGAATATTAGGAGTACATGAGATATGAGATCTCGGAACAGGTTTGGACTTTTGCCTCTGTGATCATGTGACTTAGGCGCACCAGAGCGCTTGTGCCCCCAGTGGGCCAGTTCACGCCTGAAGATCTCGATCGGATTGAGGTGAACGTCATCGAGAGACCTCCAGACTCACCTACGCCGTACAGGTCGACATTTAAGGAAGTTTCGTTGGTCGCTTTAGGAAGGAAGGGCAAAGAAGAGAAGACGAAGAAGATCGACATCAGTGACACATCAAGTGAAGATAAGAAGGACAAAGACGTAAAATCACTCACCATGACGAACGCAAGTACAAAGACAAAAGCCGACATGCCGGCACCAACATCGAAGGAGGCACCGAAGTGGAAGGGGAAGGCGAGGAAGTTAGGGGAGTTTTGGGCGAGGTTTGAGGAGTACGCGACGAGTTGCAACGTACCAGTGGCGGATAAGGCGGAGATCGCGCTGAGATACGTGGTGAAGGACAAGGACAAGGAGATTTGGGAGGCGGTTCCAGGGTATCCGGCGGAGTACGAGAGGTGGAAGAACGGGGTGAATGGGTTATATTCGGAGGATGAGAAGAAGGCGAGGAGGTCATTGGCGGAGTTAGCGAAGTTCATCGAGAAGTCGAGGAAGAAGAAGATTAGGAAGGAGTCGGACCTCACCTCGTACTATCGGGAGTTCCTCTGGCTTGCGCACCCGTTGAAGACGGCTGGAACACTCCCCGAGGCGATGATGAACAAGGAGTTTTGGTTTGGGTTGCATAAGAAGGCGAGGGAGGAGATCAATGCGAGGTTGACGGTGACGAAGGAGAACTGGGATAGGAAGAACGCACCAACGATTGAGGAGGTAATGGCAGCAGGACGATATGTATACAACAGCGACGCCTTCGACAAGGTCACCAGTAGCCGTTGGAAGTCTCGGTATCGCCCTTCGTCGAGCGACTCGGATTCGGACTCTTCAAGCTCAGATTCGGATTCGAAGACCTCGTCAGATTCGGACAGCGACTCAGAGGACGAGAGGAGGAGAGGAGGAGGAAGAGGAGGAAGGAGAAGGACAGGGAGGACGAGGTGACGACGAAGAGGGTTGCGTTCGAGACGCCGAAGGCCAAAGTGGACGACTCGAAGCGATTCGACGACATCAAGGACATCACCAGGCGACTAACCGGCCTCAATGTCACCGATTCGAACTACGCCGTGTTGTTACGCCTGCAGGTCGCTCGCGAATAGCATACCGCCGAACTAGGTTTAGTCGGACAAACGTACATCTCGATAAGCGACCGAAAAACCGTTAAGGGTACCGTGTTCTTCATAACCGGCGGTCACTTGTTCTGTCATATGAGTTGAGACCGAGCCCAGAGTCGTCAACTAAGTCGAGCTCCAAGAACGAATCAGAAAGAGGTTGAACGTAGCACATAATTGATACCGTATAAACTAACGGGTTAAGGATGTGCACTGAACCGATTGAAGATCGCACTACGGCAGTAAGGCTTTCGCACGAAGTCTTCACCGCCGGGAGTAAGACTATTCATGGGAGTGCACGATCGACTCTAAATCGACTAGAAAGTTAATAGCGACTTAAACGAGAATGACGACATGCAGAACCAGCGCCCGCAGTTACTCAAAAAGGCAATAACCGTAAGCGCCGCCGGGCGTTCGGAATTAGCCATCAGTCATGGAAAGCCAAGGGACCTCCACGGAATAGGCACAAGATCGATAAGATAGAAGCCGAGATAAGATAACCAGAACGACGGAACCAGGAACGGATCACACGAAATGTTCCATTCCGTTGAACAGGTGTTCTCATCAGGACAGATGAAACGGGGGACTAACCGTCCCATGACCTGTCACAGAAAAGAAGTAGCTCAGAAAGAGGGGACAGAACAAGGGATCCATACGCCGCCCTCCGGCGGTGTTAACAAAAGGGTATACCTGTTGTTTCCGCGGAAGCATCTTCACGGAGTAACAATAATTGTTTCCGTTCCGATAGTCGATGAACTACCAAAATTCACTGCGCTTCAACAGCATCATCAATAGACACCTATGGGCATAACCGGCACGACACCGCTGGTGCTTCTTTTGTCGCATTTCTTTCCTATTTCGTATTTCCGATCCTCATGTATCTCCGCTCCGTCTCTCTACTCTCATCGTCCGTATCTGGTTTGTTTTATAGTCTTTGCTAGTCTTTATTTCGCTAGCGTCGTAGTCAAACAACTTGTACCATATATATAGGCCCGCCGGGCAAAAGAATCAACAGATACCCCTTTGACTCGATTATATATCTTGTCCTGATCGACTCAAGTCGTTCAGTAAACAAAGAGGAATTCTCTGAGTGTCGAGTTAGCGAGTGAACGAGTTAGTGTCGAGTTCGAGTTTACGCGTGAATACACGAGTCCGAGTTTAAAAACGAGTCAACGAGTGATCCCGCCGGGGGCGAGTTTTAAGTGTGTCCGAGTTTAAATTCGAGTTTCAAGCCTAAGTCGTGTGCAGATCGAGTCGCGAGTCGAACTTAGTGTTTCCCTTGTGTGTAGAGCACAACAAAATACAAAACACCGTCTCGTATAAAGTCAAGAGCCTTTTCAAAGCTCTCAAAACCCCAAAAACCGTTCTATACGAGTTAGAGAGTCTTCTCCTCGTTAACTTAGTCTACTAAAACAACAACCCCATCGAACTTGCGTGCCAACGTACAGTCAGTACATAAAAAGTCTTTAGATTCGGCCGTCGGTCTTCATCTTCGTGTCACTTGCCTCACAACAAGTTCCACTCGATTCGGGACCGCCGGTTGTTTTCTTGCTCTTCTTTGTGCTTTCTGTGCTAGCCAGCACATCAGCGTTGTACACGCGTCTGAAGGCTCATGGCTCCGATCTTGTCGAAGGACTGGCGTCACCTTGGGCGCTTAACAATACCTTCCAAGGTAAATGCTGCGATGGCTGGACGATCGGGCGGCGGTCGAGGATTCGGACGTGGTGGTGGTCGAGGAGGACACCAGCGTTCGTACTCTGGGCCCCCCAACTTCTTTGGGAACCAACCAAACTTCCACCAAGGCCCATCGAGAAACTTGTATCAGCCTCCCGCTCAGAGCTTTGGCTCACCCGGCTGTTATTTCTGCGGCGGCAATAGTCACTACATGCGCGACTGCAACACGGCAGCTCGGTACCAAAACGAAGGATGTTGCCAGTACGACTTCAGGGCCAACCGTTTCTTCTTCGGCGACGGCTCTCCCATCATCTTACCACCTGGAGGTACGCTTCAAGCTGTGATCGACGCGCGTGGATCCGGAGGAGAGGGGAGTGGGAGTGCAGCTAGGGCACCGTCTGCTGCACCCGCTACGGCAAACCAACAAGCCCCGGTAGTTCGGTTTTGCGCAGTAGTTGAGGAGCCAGCGGTTCTCGCCACTCTCACAGAGGTGAAGGACTTAGAGGATACGGAGGGAGCGCAGCAGAGCGATTCGGAGGGCCCGAATGATGCTGCATTGGAGGTGAGCAATGAGGATGTGGTTGGACATTGGGATTGTCGTGAAGAGCGAACACTAAACCAAACTAGGAACCAGATAAGGCGAGCGGTTAACGAGATAAGAGGAGTGAGAGCGATGAGAGATGTTGAGCACTGGATTAGAGCAATGAATAGAGCGATGAATTGACAAAGAGGTCAAGCTGAGGAACATGCAGAGCGAACTACCCTAGTTATATACTGTAACTACAATCTACATAGCCGCAATGAGTCAGGATGACGAGCGATGAGGCAATACAACAAGAACAATAAGAAAAGGTCACAAGGCTGCGCGAAGGCTGCGCCCAAACAAGGTTGAAACAATAAAGAAGTAATGACTAGTCATAACGAGTCATAAGGCTGTGCGAGAATGAAAGAACAATAGAGAACAGGGTAGAGGGCAAAACGAGGCAGTGTTCCATGAGAGAAAGTGTCCATGACGAGAGTAAAGGGGAAAAGACAGGGGCAGCGATAAGATAAAAGATGAACGAAGCGATAAGATAAGATGGGAAAAATAGGGGTCGTACCAGCAGTTCACGACATTACCCCCCTTCTAAGACTCATCGTCCTCGATGATCCTAGGCAAGCGGCGCCCCTCCTCCCAATCCAGGTCCGTATGCCAGAACGGTTGAGTTGTCGGCTGTTTCTGCCAGGGAATAGATGCAAAGGCGGTGGCAGAGATACGACGTGGTGCGTTCGGATGTCGACGGTGGTATTCGGCGATGAGCTCCTGCGCGATTCTTCAGGTTCTCCTCCGGTTCCCAGGAGTCGTGTCCAGCGCCATATCCCTTCCAACTGACCAGGTACATGAGCTTCTGGCCCCTCCCCCTCTTGACGAACTTGCTATCCAGGATGCTGTCGACTTCGTACTCAAGCTCCCCCTCCAGTTCAACAGGTTCAGGCGGGGGTGGCAAGGTGCCGTTGACATCATTACCCTTCCAGGGAGAGAGCTTGTCGACGTGGAAGACAGGGTGGATGCGAGAGAGGTCCTTGGGGAGATCGAGCTTGTAGTCAAGGTCGCCAACGCGTTTGAGAACCTTGTAAGGGCCGAGTCGAAGATCGCCAAGTTTGCGAGTGGGTACCTTGAGCTGAATGTCCTTTGCGTCGAGCCAGACATAGTCGCCTTCCTTGAACTGGTGGGCAGATCGCTTGCCGGCCTCATAGATGTCCTTCTGATGAGCCTTTTCGAGTCGAAGAGCAGCTTCGGCGTCCTTCCGGACATCCTGCAAGTGCTGGAGGCGGTCATTGACGGGTCGGAGTCCAGTTCTCTTGCCAATCGGGATGTTGAAGTGAGGGATGTAGCCATAAAGGACTTCGAATGGTGAGCGGTTGTGGGCGGAGTGGATATGGGAGTTGATAACAAATTCGGCCATTGGAAGGTGTTCGTCCCAATCGTCCCTGACGGCGGTTGACGTAAAGACGTAGGTACTTCTCGACTTCTTGGTTGGCTCGTTCGGTCTGCCCATTGGCTTGAGGGTGATAGGCCGTGGTAAGGTTGGACTGGATGCCGAGTCGACGGAGAAGGGTGCGCATGACCTTGGATGCAAACTGGGGACCGCGATCGCTGATGAACTGCAGGGGAAGGCCGTGAAGGCGGAAGATTTCTCGGTAGTAGATGTCTGCGACCCCTTCGGTGGTGATGTCGGACGAGCAGGGGAGGGCGTGGAGAACCTTGCTGTAGTGGTCGGTGAAGACAATGATGGCGTCGTGTCCGTGTGCTTCGGGAAGCTGAGTGATGAGGTCGACACCAACAGATTCCCAAGGGCCTTGGGGTACGTCCAGGGGTTGGGTGGAGGCCTTGGGGTGCTGCATGTACTTCTTCCGTGCGCAGGTGTCGCAACCGTCCACGTACTTCTTGACAAATGCTCGGATACCGGGCCACCAATACTGTCGTTCAACTCGTTCAAGTGTTCCATGGACGCCGGGGTGACCAGAGGTGGGATCGTCGTGGCACTGCTTGAGGACGTCGCGGCGAAGTTCGTCGTCCGGGGGAACATAGACACGTCCCTTGTAGTACACCAGACCGTTTTCCTCTTCCCATTCGGCAAGACCGTTAACCAGACGGTGGGGACCAGAAGTGCGGAGTTGGGCAAGCCCTTCCAAGACGTGCGTCTCGCGAGTGCTGGCGTCGCGGATACGCTGCTCCAGGGGGTTGACGAGCATATGAGCGGCGGCGAGCTTGGCGAAGTACTCTGGTTTGAGAACAACTTGCTGCCTATTGTCTTCGGCGTCCGTGACCTGATGGGTGTCTAGGCGAGAGAGGGCGTCGGCTTGGGTGTTGCCCTTGCCAGGGCGGTGGGTGAGCAAGAACTTGAAGCGAGAGAGATAGAGGGCCCATCGTGCTTGTCGGCGGCTAAGGTCTTGAGCGGAGCGCCAGTACTGGAGATTGGAGTGGTCGGTGACGATCTCGATCGGGTCGGGGAGTCCTTCTAAGAAGTGTCGCCAGTCCTTGAGGGCTTCGATGATGGCCAACATTTCGCGGTCGTAGATCTCATAGTTGCGTTCAGCCGGCTGCATGGAAGCGGAGCGGAATGCGACGGGGTGCCAGAGTCCATCATCGTGCTTCTGAAGGAGGGCCCCTCCTGTGGCAAAGCCTGAGGCATCGACTTCAATGCGAGTGGGCCGGCTAGGGTCCCAGAGGGTGAGGATAGGAGCGGAGGTGAACGTGTTCCGGAGGGTATCGAAGGCCTGTTGCTGGGGTTCGTTCCATTGCCAAGGGGTGTCCTTCTTGGTGAGGTCGTTGAGCGGGCGAGCAATAGTGGCGAAGTCCTTGATGAAGCGGCGATAGAAGTTGGCAAAACCGAGGAAGCCTCGTAGGGCACGGAGGTTGCGGGGAACGGGCCAGTTGCGGACTGCTTCAACCTTGGTGGGGTCCATGCGCACTTCGCCTTCTCGGATAACCAATCCCAAATACTCAATCTCCTCTCGTTCGAACTCGCACTTTTCAGGCCGGAGGTACAAGTCGTGCTTCTTGAGGCGTTGAAGGACTTCGTGAACGATCTGGCGGTGCTCTTCCAGAGTGGCGGTGAAGATAAGAATGTCGTCAAGATACACTGCGACCTTGCCGGCAGCGATAAGATCGGAGAAGATGGAGTTCATGAGCGCTTGGAAGGTGGCGGGGGAGTTGGTGAGACCGAAGAACATGACCAGGGGTTCGAACAGGCCTTGGTTAGTCGCAAACGCTGCCTTCCACTCGTCTCCTTCCTTGATGCGGATGTTGTTGTAGCCCCAACGAACATCAAACTTGGTGATGTTACGGTCAAGGGACGCGAACTCAAGGGAGCATGCACGTCGACCGTAGAGTCGTGGTTCCGAGGCGAGTTCGAGGGTATAGGCGTCTAAGAGTGCCTCACAAGAGGTATTGTCTTAAGACGACTAGAGCGAGTTCGAGAGAAGAGGAGAAGTGGGTATGATTCACGAGAACTAGCTAAGGAACAAGAGAGGTATCTACAGAGCTTATATACCTATCTAGCTACGTGAATATGAGTCAAGAGAAGTCAGAGAAAAGGGCTGCGCGAGCACAGGTTACTGCGGAGCGCAGCAGAGATAAATTAGAGAACAATAGAGAGTGGCTGCGCCGCAGCAAGAAGGAGTCATAAAGAGTCAAAGAAGGCTGCGCCGCAGCAGTAAGAAGAATTAACTGATAAAACAGTCACGAGATAAAGAAAGAGATCATGTGAACAAGAAAGAGAGTCATGTGATAGAGAAAGGACGCGAAGAGAAAAGATAGGGGCGGAATTCGTAACATTACCCCCTTTGTATGATTGAAGTCCCTTCAATCCCAGCTGCTAGCGTCGGGGCCAGAGGTCGACCAGTCGGGGATCAGACTGTCGTCCCAACTGTTGTTTCCTGCGGGGGTTTCGTCAAAGCGGACCTTCTTTCCTTGATCGGCTTGTCGGAACTTGAGGGGAATCTTGATCCCGGCGGACCTCCTAGAGATGGCTTCTTGAGTCGTCCTTGCATAATCGTGGGCGGCTTTCGATCGTTGGTAGCGGTTGCGATGATGGGCCCTTCGTCGTTCCTTTTCAAACCCGCACTCGCGGATGACGTGCCCGTCACGCTTGCAGTTGTAACAGGGTCTTGAGACGGCTGGCAGGCGAGTGGTAGGGGGAATTCTCGTAAGGGGGAGTGTAGGTGATCCAGGCGTATTCTTCTCTGCCTGTCCAGTCATTGCGTGCCGAAAGATCACGAAGGTCGATGAGGGCGGGGACGATGGCTTTGTGAAGGGCTTTGTAGACGAATCCTTCGCATTTCTCTTGGAACTCTTCCCAAAGGAAAAGGCGGAGGTTGATGAGAGTGACTCGGGTTTGGGAGCCTACGCGCCGGTCTTGAGGGGGAATGCGAAGAATGGCTCTGTGAATCTCGACCATGTGGCGGTCGAGATCTCGGAGGCGGTCTAGGACGATGTGATGCGCATATCCTGCACATCTCTTGAGGGTTAGTCCAATCGCGGGGGTCGGCGAGCAGGTGGCATGAGTTCGGCAGCGCAGGTCATGAAAGTGGAGTTACCCCCTTTGTAGGGGTCAGTGGGTTCGTTGGCAGGGGGGTTTTCAGTGGTTGATGTTTCGACGGCGGTGGTTTCAGTGACGGATTCGGTGGAGGGGGACGGGGAATTCGAAGGTGAAGGCGGCACCGGAGTCGATGATCATGTTGGTCATTTCGAAAGGGAAGTAGGTGTGAGAGTAGTGAAGAGGGGCAAGTGGATTTGTGAGGTGAAGTAGCAGATGGGTGGTTTGCTGGGGGAGTGAGTCTGACTGGTTGGACCTTTTATTTCCGACGTTGTTTGCGGTTCTTTGGTTTTTCTTTCAGGTGAGTCGTCTTGTATTGTGTCAGGATCTTGCTTGCTCCGGTCATGAGGTTGTCTTCATCTTCCCACGTTGCTTCTTCTTCGGAGTAACCTTTCCAAAGCACAAGGTACTCCAGTCCGCTTCGGGTTTTGCGGTGTTTCAGAATGCGCTCAATTTCGTAAATGTCGTCCACTTCCGGAGGTGGTCTGGGGAAGTTGGGGCCGTGGACTTCATTCTCGACGTATGGCGTGAGGAGGGTGGCGTGGAACATGTCATGAACTCGGACTCGTT